CAGCCATTTGAAGGAGAGTCTGTTCCTCTTGCATCCAAACCCTTGTACACACACACAATTTCTGTAGTCTGCATAACAACCATGCAAAATAGGTATTTTGAAAGCAGTATTTTGTGTATAAAGACCAGGGACAGATGACTGTTCCCTGAGGACAACAATGCTCAGCCCCAGCAGAACTTTATCCTTTTCAATAAATTCTTTTTGTATTTTACTTCCCTTCAGCTCCAAGTGTGGCAGTGTGCTTACTAATACCGGCCTTGGCACCAAACCACAGCAGAACTGAAAGTATATACAGCACAGCACAGCATTAAAACTGCTATTTGTAAAAAGATACTAAGATAGGTGGATCTTCTATGGCTCCCAACACAGGCAGTTGCAATGGTGAACTGGAAAACAGGGCACCTTCATTCTGCATTTCTATTTTTTTTTTTTTTTGGTCTTGTATCCTGGGCATGAGTTCAATGTGTAGGTATTAGATACATCTGTGTACAAATGTGTAAAAGATCACCAACCTTCACTGGAGAGACCCTTGCATTTATATGTATTTAATCTGTCTAGAAAGAAGTGCAGGGTGCATTTTTTTTTTAAAATATTTTAAAAGAATTAGATGATAAATGTTTTTTTCCTCTTTTCTTGCTGAACGGTAAATCAAATCTTCCAAAAGCAAATGTTAATATTAAATTCCAAGTTTACAATTTCAAGTATGATTTTTCTTTAGCCACTCAATCTGCATGATGATTTTGATCAAATGCCCCAGCTTCTAACACTGGTAACACATGATAAAATCCACCCCAAAAAAGCTCATATTTAAATAATCATATGATAAGTTAAATGCATGCTGTGACAGAATATGAATTATCTGACAGGCTGCAGAATAATACAAGTTTAGTCTGGAAGACAGATACAAGCACACTGAGTCCAATTTGAGCACTGAAGATAAGAAGTACAATCCTTTGCCTGCTTCTGTTTAAATGAACGAGAAAGGGTAAAATGAGATAGATTGTTCAGACCTTGATATAAGGCATCTGGCTGAAAACTCATTTGCTAATTGTTTAAGATTAGCACCATTGAACCAAGATAATTTAAAACATTGATTTGCTATGGGGTGCCAGCTACCATTGGTAACTCTCACTCACTCTGGGCCTTTGTAGTGCTGTGGGTTCAGTGTGTTTACTTGGTTTTTGTATGAAGGGAGATGGAGAATAATATTAGTCACTGAACCTTCCCTCACCTTTTCCCCCATGAGGAACATGCCTAATGAAAATTTGAGCTGTGCTGCCAAACTGATATTGGCAAAAGATCTTTTCTTTGCCTGATTGGATAAATATGCAGCTGGTTTTGTAATCAATGCTTCTGTGAGTGAAATTAAAAGATGTTACTTTAAAATGCTGCTGTATGTATGCAGTGGTCTTCAGTCACCTGAAATGTCATGGCCCAGAAATACAGAAGATGAAGATCAAATACAGAAGACTGTGAGCAGTACAGGTAGAAAATCAAGCGAATGCTCCCACTGAATATTTTAGCTATGTTTAAATGTTTTTGCCTTTTGATACAGGTTCCATTTTTCAGAAAACACTATGTTCAGTTAAAAACTGGCCCAAATCAATGGTACTTGCAGATTAAATTTCTTGCCAGGCTTGGAGCTTTTAGTTCTGTTTTAATGTTAATTTTTAAAGAAAATAGTTCCGTTTCTATAAAAGAGAAAAATCAAATAGATGCTATGCTATGTAATTTCTCATGTTCCAGAAATTCTAAAGGGTTTCAGGACCATACTGTTCTGTTCTGAACTCATTCCCTGTGCTTTGATCCTGGTGAGAAAATCCCCTGTGGGTATATGGCAGGGAGGCCCCGCTGAGCCCAGCACGTTCCTGCATGCCCACGCCTGGGCCGCAGGGGTTCTGGGGAGGGCTCAGGAGCCCTGCCAGGCACAGCCACATCTATTGTGCCTCTTCTTCTGAGGGCAGCAAACCTTCCTGGCCCAACCAGACCCTGCTGACCACTATGTCTCTGCAGCACAAACCCTGAATGCAAGAAGATAACAGCTGCTATCACAGTGCTTTTTATCTGGGAGGCAAAGTCTAAAATTGCATCTGACCTCAGTTGCGCAGAGACGCCAAGCGAGGAGCGCTCTGCCTGGATCCTCAGAGGGTTTAGATTAAATCACTAAGAGTGAGGTACCTAAATAAATAGTTCTGAGGATAATAGCTTCTGTGACTTCTACTTTGTATGATACAAAGTAGACTCCAAATTGTAATTTATCAAATGATATATTGCGGGCCTTAGAACACACAACTCGGCTTTTGTGTTGTTTTTTCCCTAATAGGCTTACTAATGTATAAAATTATGACACTCCATTTACTTATAGAATCATACATGTAATTAAACTAGCTATGATATAGATTAAATTGTTCATTCATAGTCAAGCTTTTATTTGCACTAGATCAATGATTTTTAGCAATAAAGCTCCATAAGTATAGAATTTCTTAATGCCGATAGCCTATGTATAATAAAAAGTAAACAAGCACATATTGGTCTGTCGAGTGAGCGCGTGTATCCATCTTTGCATATCTATGTTCCTGTGCAGCACAGGCTTAGGGAAAAGCAGATCAAAACCACATGCTACGTGTCCAGACAAATAATCTTTTTGAGCTTTGCCAAGGCAACAGAATGAATTCCTATTTTTCTCTTATATTGGGGTCTGCTAACTTGCCCGGTCATTTGTTTAGAATTCAATGGGAAAATAAGAAAGCTAAAAGTGACACTGTACAAAATTAAATTAATTGGAATTCTGTTCCTTCATGATAAGGCTTGAAATGAGATTTAAATCAGCGTGTGGTTGGTAAAACATGACAATTTGATGTCTGTTCCATAAAACTGACAACCGCATCTAGTTGTTTTTCTTCTGAAATTGATCAGATAATTTGTTCAGACTTGGAGAATATCTGACAGTTACACAATCAGACTGAGATTTGTTCTGAAAATTACAACCAAGTGAGGGAAACTCAATTAGTTTTGTCAGCAAATATAAAGGCACTAGCTTGCATTTCCAGAAACTGTCCAAAGATTTTACAAATACTCTTGATTCAGCTAAAATCAAGCTAATTATATGCTGGGCTCAAAAAACTCATCATTAAAAGAACATTATTTGTCTTACAATGTCCAAACCCGAAAAGATAGGAAGTACTGAAATTAATAAGTAATTGCTTTGACGAACTGGTGTATATATATTACTATAAAATTTTCTCAACAGTCCTCCAGACTTGTTCAGTATCTCAGCTATTTAATATATTTTTTAAACCCCCTGGGTGGACACAATGTAAGTGTCATTTTTTCAAATTCCATGCAGAGAACCATACTGATTTCTGTTTTCATTTCTTTTCCCTTGTAGTTTGGGTCACTGCAATATTTCCAGTGCTTCACAAATTCCAGTTGTTATTTTGCCAGTATCTAGGATAAGATACAGGGTGGTAACAACCTTCTTCTGCATATGGGGTGCAATGCAGAGGGAGACCTCTTATTTCTGAGTGTGTTGTTTGGGAGGTAACTAGGATCTGATTTGGTGAAGAATTAGAGAACTTTGAAACTTGAAACATTACTTCACCCGCTTTCTGTTGCAATTCTAACTGCCCAATAATTTTGTGAATCATAACTCAAGTAGAAGCAGCTGGAAAATGAGAATACAGTCAACAACCACATGTGAAAAGTATGGTTTGGTTTAAATGCCATGCCAAATACAAACAGGAGCTTGCTGGTAGAAGCTGAGGAAGTCCAGTTTTCTCAGGTTGCACTGAACAGTGTTGCCCATGCAAGCTTCTTTTCTCTTCATATACTATCTTTAATGCTGTTTGGTTAATTATCACAATATTTCCTGAAATTATTTATTGGTTTTCTTTCCAGATATAATTTTTTGATTTGTCAAAAGTCCAGCTTTTCTGCTTCAGAGGTACTCATCACTTGGAGAGGCAGCAGTAATCTCTAGTATTATTGCCTTTTTTCTTAAAAAAAAATTAATATATAAGATTTACATTTGGTTTTGAGTATTTAGAACATTTTTATGGCTATTGACCAATTTTATGATATTTGTCTAATTGGTGTCTGTAATTACTGACAGTAATTACTAATTGGTGTCAGTAATTATTTTCTTGTGTTTCTCAGTCTTAAGAATCAAAAGCAAGCTCTTATAGAAATCTGTCTTTTATGTTTGCGTGGCTAAAAATACAGAGAGGCTGTGAGAGAAGCAGAAAGAAAAATGTGAGAGGACTTTCCAGAGCTTCTGGAAGTAGATTATCAAAACTGTTAAAAGAATAAATCTTACAAACAAGATTTGCAGTAAAAGTCTAATTCTGTGTATATTGAAGTGATATTTCTACTCACTTGTATACAAGACCCATTAATCAGAAGAAAAGCAAAATAATAACTAAGCATTGAAACAACATGTGTTCAAATGCCATTTAAGGAAAATTTCAGCTCTTATTTTTAAGGACGTTAAGTATACTTCCATTTTTTCCCAACAATTAGCTTTCATCTAGTTTTTACTAGTTATTACAGGTACAAGCCAGTGTTTTGCAGTTATTGTCCTGGGAAGGCTGAAGGTATGAAGGCATAATTAACTTAGTCAAGAAGCTGCAGTTAGGACAGAAAAAGAGTGAACATGCAGAGGAATCACCTTCTTTCTTTCAGTAGGAATTCTGAATTTGGAAGCAATATGCTGATGTTTGAGTATACAAAACTTACTTCACAGTTGCCAAGATGTGTATTTAGCTATTCCAGCGGGAGCTCCTCTGGGTGTTAGTGGGAGAGAGGGAGGACACTGCAAGTGCATTGAATTTACTGGATGGCACAGTCAGTGCCCTCAGCTGGGAGTCTCCCAAGGTTCAGGCATTATGGCATGGTACAGCCCAGAGCTTTGGCTCGTTCTCTGCTCCCAGGAATGGGCACATGACAGCACACGGACGAGGCAGCGGAGCTGCAGGAGAGGGGCGACTCTCAGAGTTACTTACGTTGACAGCCCAAGCTGTGCCAGATATATCCCGGCAGACATTTATCACATTTAGGCCCTGAAGTTCCCTCCTTACACTCACAAAATCCTCTGTCATTACAGCGATCATGGACTGAACCAAAAGGGTTACAATAACAGTCTGCAGAAACAAGACAACACATACACACTGGATTCAGGTCCACATGTGGAGATAATTCATTCAATACCAATAAAGGGTGCATTTCCAGTGCTAAAGGTAAAGGAAGACTGTCTATTAATAATATCTAGTGTAGTGAATATCATTACTACATGTCCATTTATTTGTTTGCATGTGTCATTTCAGGAAGAGACGTTTTATGATGCAAAGAGAAAAAGTAAACAGGAAAGATATAAAGGCAGCAGATATCACGGTCTTGAGGGTAAGTGATTATAACAGATTCTCTTTGGCAAGAATATTTTTGATAATTTAATGAACATTAGAAAAGCTTTGTATAGTATGGATATATCCATGTGCCATCAGGCTGAAACGTTTTGCTTTATTAAAATAGGCTTATCTGTATTACTCAATATTTTCAGAAGTGCTAGATGTCTTTACAGGGCTATATAAATGCACTTTACTTATTTCCAAGATAGTCTTCCTTTATAGGTTTGAGCAGTACAATAATTTAAGTGAATATTTGCCATTAAATTGATGAGATTGATTTATCAGTGACATTAATAAACCTTTTGCATATTCTGCAATGCAAAGCTTGAGGTGAGCACTAATGTAATGTAAAACCTTTAAGAACGGGCTTTGTGCAGCCATTTTAATTTCTCTCGCCTCCCAGCGTGCAGATGGAAAATGCAGTGAGGCTCATTCCCCGCTGTATATTTTTCACATGTGTTCAGCTAATTAAAGAAAAAGTAGGGTAACACATTTCCTCCCACAACACTTACTGTGCTGTTCATTCACAGCCCTTTTCTTTAATATGATTACAATATCTGTGTTCAGCTTTCAGCCAGCTGAACAAAGGCAAGGAGCTCACAGAGCTCATTTTTGGCATTCCTGTACTTCACCTTGGTTATTCAGATTTTATGTTCAAATGGAGAGTTATCTTATTTTTATGTGGACCCATGTAGACCCAGAGTAACTTCACTGTTAACTGAAACAACAGACTCCTTTTGGAAGCATCTGATCTCTGCTGCTTCCTGATTTGGGGCAACCTGCTGGGAGTGTAGATTTATATGTTTGTGAATCAGTGCTACTTTGATCACTATCTTTAGCAATTGTTCCCTAGCATTAAGTTGAACCTCAGGGGTACCATAAATGAAAAAATGGGAGTTGAACTGGGAGGTTACATACATATACATCTCCAATGAAAAAAACCAACAGGAGAAAAATTAGCAGAAAGACTTTTCTCATCTGTTGTCTCACTATTTATTAACTATAAATTACAGATGGCACTTTGAACATTTGGGATGTTGAAGAAGAGTAGTTACCTTTAGCAAAAGGGTTCCACAACAATAACAGAGTCAATTACCTGGCAACATTCATTAATGAAGCAGAAAACTGTCAGGCCAAAAATACTGTGCAAGGCTGAGTATTATCGCAAAGTGAATGCCATTTGAAAAGCTGGGAATTCTGATGTTAATCAGATGTATCAAATGTTTATGTAAACTGACATAGACTTGAGATACATTGTGAATGCAAGAAGTAAAATTTGCTTCAAGTGTGTTTATAGAAAACCTTGAAAAACAAAAGCTGGGAATTACATTAAAAACAGAGAGTCTAATTCTTGTTAAAAACAGCTTTGTTAGAGATAATGAAGTTACAGTGATTTAAACAAGTATTTGTGAAAGAAATGTATAGCCTGTGATACTGGATGTTATATTTTCCACAGAACAAGACCCTGAACCAGTGAAAGCTTTCCTACTGAACTCTATCACATAAACACGTAGGAAGTTCCAGGCCCATATCGTGCTGTTGAAGGGAAAGTAAATAGTAGAAACAAATATTTAAACCAGGCCTTTTGCAATATTAGTAGATCCAATCAGAACACCCAACAGACTAATTCTAGCTTCCATCTTTCCCAACTGATACCACAGTAATATAACCTACAGAACATTCATGATCATTGTCCAACACAGTATCACATGCTGTGGAACACTTCCCAAGGCCTGCCAAATACTTAAGATGTTAGAAATCTCAAAGGTCACAATATTCAGTGTGCCACAGGGAGGCAGTGTATCTGCAATGCCCTTACAACAACAGGGCACTGAATAACACTAACATTCCCAGATCATCCTAATAAGCAAACCATAAGCACGTTCCAGGGTGGGGAAAAAAAGCCCCTGCAGATCTGAACTGAGAAAGAATTTTCATCCTAACCTTCATCTGGTAACTATTTGTAAGGACAGGAAGACAACAGAAATGGTAATCTGTTCACTGGGGTTCACTCTATCAATGTGATGCTTCAAACAAAACAGAATGAGCGTAAAGAAAAAGGAGGTGGGGAAATGGGCTGAGGCTGGCAGGCTTGCTGCTTATTAGTCTGGGCTGACAGTGGCTCTAGGACAACCCCCAGGGTTAAGTTAACCACGTGTCATTAGGGCTTCTGGTGTTAACTGAAGCTTAAGCCTGACTGACTGCAAGGGTGGCTTTGTTACAAGTGTGACAGCAATCACCAGTTCAGTATTTATGCTGTGAGGAAAAGGCTATGTTTTATTACTCTGGGTCTACCTGGTGGTTTCCATGCTATCCTTGCTCGTCAGTGTGTGCATTCACTGAAAGTCACTCAGGCTTTATAAAGAAATAAAAACTCTTCAAGTTAAATTATTTTTCACACTGAATGAATAATTTTTAACTTCAGAATACCTTGATTTATTCTGAAACTGCAGTTGCCCATGTGAGGTAATTTTGCAGTTAATGTACAAATCCACAAATTTTTGCTATTTCATTTTAGGAAATGAAATCTATTTTGCTGCTAAAGAAATTAAGGGCATCAAGAATTTAGATTTAAGCCCACTGTATAATACATTGCATTTGGCTCACTGGAAAAAAAAACCTTTTCAGTATCTGAATTCTTTAGTCTTAAAAATTAAACATTTTACATTTTCTCAATTGATTTAGCATCAGCTAAGATTCACAGATTTGTTATCCATGTACTTACCATATGTATTTCTGCAAACTGTGAAGCAGTTTTGGTAAATCAGAGCCAAAGCCCTATTAGCTGCCATTAAACTAGCTTATCCAAACATTTGTTACCTTTCTACATACATGGCTGAAGAGGAAAGAATTAGCCTATAAAAATGACTTTCATATGGGAATAAGACTTGCACATATCACTGCAAATCTGCTTATTAAAATGTTCATGCCAACATTTCACATGAAGTTAAACCACAGAACACTGCTTTTAAACTCGGAGAAAAGAGAAATGAGCGTTTCCAATAGAGCAAGACTGTGCTTGACCTAGAAGGGTGGTGAATCCATCAACTCTTTCACAGGTGAAAATACTCCACATTTTGCCCAATTAAATCTTAGGAGCCCCAGATCAAGACAGCACTTTAAGAACAAACTTCTCTGTTTTCTGAAAAGTGCTTTAGGTGTCTGTTCATTTCACTGACTTTACACAAGAAGTAGGAAAGACCTCTTAAGTTGGCAAATCAGCTAGGACGCATACATTGGAAACTACATTTTGTATGGTAACTGTGATCTGGAAAACTGTCTTAGTTCAGCAAGAATGTTATTTATTTCAAATTAATTACCTAAGGTGTAGAAAACCCAGGTTTGATCCTGTAGTTATTTCACATGGTGCAATTCTCATGGAAGCCCAAGAGAATTCTGCTTGCATTAAGGTGGAAAGTCAGCAAATGTGCCTTTTTTTTTTTTTTTTTTTTTTTTTTTTAAATAAAAGATTTAAAAAATCCATTTCCTCAGTGTCTTGGCAATTTTAAAGTGAACAATTGTCTTACTGTGACATTTTAAATATATCACTTATAAATTAATTTTAAAATTACTTATTTTTGGCTTTTTGTTTACTAATTTCCTTGTCTTATGTAGCTGCAGCTGCTGTCTTAGCATTTCAGTGTATATGGGAAAACAACATACTGAATGAGCTGATGAAAAATTCCAAACAGAGCAATTTAGAATTGTATTCATTAGGCCCATTTAGGCAGCTGAAATTGTACAACCCTGATGTCATACCAATGATGTCTGTCATCTACATAAAACAAACGTGTGGGACAGTAGTTTTTTTCCAAGAACATTGGATTGTGTTAAGCTCCTCAGCACAGTCATACAAAATCATGACTTGCCTATTAAAGTTCTTATTAGCTCTGACTAATTACTGGCAAAGGACATCATGCATTTCCTGAATGTATTGCCAAGCAAAGTTAAAAGAAGGACACATGAAATGCAGTGCATGGATGGATCTGTATTTATCACAAGATAAATATGTAAATCTGTCAAGTTACAAATTCAAACAAATAATAACAGCCTAAATAGTTTCTGGCTTGAATCTCAGCAATGGATTATAAATGTATTAAAATATAATTTATTCACCTGTAGTCTACTTTGGTTTTACAGTATTTGCTAACTACTCTTTGCTTCCTGGAAGATGGAAAGAAAACAAATCACAATGAAAATCCAGAACAGGTCTTTATGTCTATAAGAAACATTATATGATGCTTCTGTCTATAGGAAACATTATATTATTATATTCTCCACTTCTGTTTGTTATTAGAATAGTGTCTTTAGTGGCTGTCTGTTAATCACTGGCCGTTGTAAAAAGCTTCCTTTATTGACTATGTTCAGGCTTCACCTAAAGTGTCCTGACTTTCCTGTATACTGTCTGTGGAGACGTGAGAACAATGCATGTTCTTTGGGGTGCTAAAGATCTAAAATTTTTTCCTAATATGCTTTTCTTATTATGCTCTAACATTTTCTCTAATTCTGCAGTTTATAGCAGATGCTTGTTCTAAAGCACTGTTTTCACCTAGGAATCCCTTTTCTAAGTTGACATCATGTCACACTGATTTGACAAATTCTGTTCCTAACCTCATGGGCATCATTTCAGTTCCTCCTCTAAGTAGAGGGGAGGTAACGCGGCATTTACAATCTTGTGTTTGGGAGCAGAATTAGCTGCAACATGTTTTTGTGAAATTTAGTGAATAAAAGGGATTAACAGAGATCCCTCCCCATGTCCTCGATGCAGCTGGCAACTTTTGTAGGTATCCAGGCAAGTATCCAAGAGTCTGTACTAGTAATTACAAAAGCCAGACTGGGACCAGGTACTTAAGACTCAACTCCTTGATTTTTATGTGTGACCCCAGTGTAGCTCTCTACTGTGTAAGGACAGCACATCCAATTTCTGGGGAAAGTCTACCCAGGACCCATAGCCAGAGAGATTCCTCATCATTTACAGATTCAAAATGCCTCCTTGGGGCTACCAGGGCAATAGAAATGAGGTGAGAAGTCTACACAGATGTTCTGATCCATTGAAAAAGCTCATTCTGGCTTAAGTGGCAAGTAAGCAGCAGTGTCCCTAGCAGCTGCCAGGAGCTGAAAAGGCACAGAAGAAAAGGCGCAGTTATCCCGGGACTGACCTATGCACACATTTTCATCGTCCAGCTCTGCAGAAGCATTTCTGAAGTAGCCCAGCCTGCATAACTCGCAGTGCTGACCTCTAGTGTTGTGCTTACAGCTCACGCAAATGACCGTATTGAGCAGCTCGATGTAACTGCACCGGTTGGAGTGCCCGAAGCATTCACAGTCTTTCAAGGAAGAACAGAAATGTATACAAAGTGTATACAGCAGCAGAGTAATAGCACATTACATGCTTAGTAAAAATGAACCATGAGCAGAAGTATGAATGAATGGCACATACATGTTAATCAATGTAACATGGACAGCAGCAGATGTTTATCTGCAATGGAAGTGGAGCTGGTTTCAGGCAGGTTAGCATGACCCGACAACCATGGCATGATGTCGGAGGTTGGCTGTTGTTGGTAGACCTGATGGAACTGAAGCATTTGCAGTTGTAAACCTTTCAGGGTTACTGGAGGTTCAGTTTCCACTGAGAGAAATGCACATATTTTTGCACGTTTGAGATGAGTATAAATCAAGACCTGGGAAAAATCTCCTCCTATTAAGAATGTTAAATTCAATGGACAAAATTGTCAAACTTAATTATGATTAAATCCACAACTGTAAGTAGAATTTTTTTTTTTCTGACAGAAATGGAGAGTATTCAAAAATGCTACTGAACTTGGGGTGCTGTAACTGCTAGGCACCTTGAGAACCAGAGTGTTTTAATTCATGACCAAATAAATCTCTAGTTTGACAATTTTGGCCAACACCTCCTAGAACGATTAACAGTGAAGAAAAGGAAGGAAGACAGTTATTGGAGAACTACATCAACTGTACTTTTGAGGTAAGGATTAACCAATTTTTGTATTCCGAGACGAAAACCAGTTGGGCTAGAAAAGATTATGAAAATTCTGAAATGTGTACTGACTAGAAAGCATGCTTACTGCAGCCACCTGAAATGAAGCTGGCATGACAGCCACTTAAAAAAAATCCTTCATTAAATATAGAATGCTAGTGCCTTTTAGTCTTTAATCACAAGCAATACTTGGCTTTATGCAGAACAAAGAAAAAATCAGAAATGTATCAATAACATTATAGAAGACACAGCTCTGTGTTGTGTAGAACACTTGTGTGAGCCTGATCACTCAGCTTTTGGGATTATGAATGCAGGAAAGGTTACTAGGATTATCAGAGAAGTTGAGTCTATTTGAAAAGTGAAGATTAGGAAAATTTGGCATGTTTATTATAGCAAACTGATGATAGAAGGTATCCCCTTGTATAAATACAGCAAGGAGCTAAGCCTTCTGCCGTCCTAATGGACAATACTGGCACAAGAACAAATGGGTGTTAGCTGGCTGTTGGGAAATTTCAGCTGGAAATTAGAAGATGATATCTAGGCATTAGGGCAGTGAGGTTCTCAAACACTTTCCATTTGTGACAAAACACACTTTGCAGATGTAGCTTATTAACTGGTAGAATAAATTATAGTATATTTCCTGCAATAATGGAGCACTGGATGCAGTGACTTGGAAGGGCTTTGAGGTCTTGAAGTTATCTTGTAATTAAATAAAGCTGTAGCAGAGGGTGTAAAATGTTTCCATATATGACAGAGGCCAAGTCCCCTGCACTGCCTTTTCTCTGGTATGCTCCTGATTATGCTGGGCTACCTGATCATCCCCCTGACTGGTGGAGTAGGGCATCACATAAGTATTTGAGCCTGTCTGTATTTTTGTAAAGAAACAACAGTTACAGTAGATGTTTCTGAGTATGCTCTGCACTCCCAATACATGGATGTATCTTTGGCTTTTGTCTGATGTACTGGACCGTAAATAGATTAATTTTTTTTTAGACACTTAGCACAACATATGTTTCAATCTTGAGAGCTGCCTTTCTGCTGCCAGAAAACATTAATCCATTTTACATATACGCATTTAGTTAACATATATTTCTCGTTCTCTTCGATGTTATTCTGCTAAACCAGTGTTTTGTTGTTTGTGCTAATCTGATAATTTTGATGCCAGTAGCTGCTGGAGAACAGGAAAACATTTGGTGTATCAGTCTCAGTATGTTACCACTTGACACAATTGAGTAGAGAGGAAAAAAATGTTAGTTAGTTGTCTTTTGCAGCTGGTCAGTCTGATTCAGCATCTCAGCCAGCCACCCTGCAGCATTTCTCCCCAAGTATATCCATCTTGCTCAAGTGAAAGCTGCCTGTGTGGAACAGATGAGATCTAAAAGTGGAAAATAGCACTAGCAAACAGGAGTAATGGAAAACTGGTGTGATTATGTTTATGTGTTTGATTTTTAAAGTAAGAAAGACTGATTAGTGATAAGCAATCTGATCTTTCTGAATCCAGCATTCAGAAGCAAGGCTGTCAGTCTTTCTGTCTGACAAAGAATCTGTCTTCTGCTACCAACAGAGAGTTTGTTTTGGTGAGATAATACTGTATTGATATGTTGGCCAGAGTTGTTCATAAACGTTTCCATACTCCAGGTGAATTTAGAGGAAATAATTTGCCCATATACTATAAAGAAAAGCTGACTATGCTACATTATTTTTTGTATTTAAGGCAGCAGAAAGAAACTGAAAATAGTTCGTGAATGAATGACTGCACTACTTCCACTGTGAAACTGCAATACAACCTTCAATTATATTACTACCACATATAATTTGGCATAACAACAGCACAAAAACAAAAGCTGCACATGAAGCAATTCACTCTAACACAAGGCCTGCTCCAAGTTATGATTTGGAGTGAAGAAACTGCCAATAATTATGAAGCACCTGGATGTATGCACACGCTCTGAAACGTATGCAGAAGGACCGCTCATGTTCAGAGGTGGGTCATCAATGCTTAAGGTAAACAAAGAGACCAGTTTTTAAAATTGGTTACATTTCTATGGGTATTGTTCTTTTGTAACAACTGTGCTGTGGGAAACAAAGTTTTAGTCTCAAAGTAAACTAATGCTAAGGTACAGGAGTGCTCTAGTAGTCTTGATCAGACTAGTAAATGCTATGTGGTGTAGAAAAAACACAGTTAACTCAAAAACAGTCCAACATCTGATAAAACATTAGCAATGGCAAAGGGGTAAAAAAAAAAGAAATGGCAAGTAATGCTTAAATCAATTTTGTGATAACATTTGCTTCCCTCCTGCCTCCCCACCACATTGTTTGTTAGTGCAGTAATTTTTTGTTGTTGGCCTGGTCAGTGAATCAAATAAGCTATGTAGAAAGTCCTCCTATGATCAAAATGGAATTACTTTTTCTACTGGCTACATGAGGTGCTACCCCAAGCCACTCAGACATAGCACACAGAATTGCATTCAGCACGGTGGCAGCAGGAAATCTGGCAGTGCTGTATGGCCCTTCCAGCATATCATGTGGTTCACCTTAACCAGAAAGTATTCTGCTTGTTAGGCCTGTCAGAAGCACAGCTTAGGGTCTTTAGGCACACAGCTCTGGCTAGCAGCCTAAAGCACTGTCACACACTGGCAAAGTCATGCAAACACTGAAGGAGATGGGGGAAAAGTATCAAAATCAGGCTGCACATGGTTTACCAACCATTGTGAAATGACATGAGCTTCTTACAGTGTTAGAAAATGCTGCTTTCAGTTCTGAGTGCCACATGTCAGAAAAGACACAGAGAAGTTGAATAACAATAAGGAGTGAATGGTTCAGAAACTAAAAATCTCAGAAGAGGTAATGACAGCTAGATAGGTTTAATGTGAAGGGAAAAGGGATTGCCAGGTTAGATGCGATCATTGTTTTGGCTAATTCAGGAACTGTCAAATCCCTTGCAAACTCACAGAAGCATTGACTCTTTGAGCCTCCCTGACTATTTTCCAATGCAATGATTTTATTGAAACAATCTTTATTCTGTTGCAGAAAGCATAATATAACTACCCACTGAAGTAGGCTCACAAAGTTGATAATCTAATTGTTTTGTTTCTGTAAATTGAACACTTCCCCCCCATTCTAATGCTATGCACTTACATCTTTGAGATAACATACTATTATTGTAGGGATGTAGATCAGTGGAAACTTCAGCTACGACCATTAAAACATGAAATGTCATCACATGAAACAATGATAAACATACAAGGAAGGGTAGCATAATCTCTAAACTAAGACAGGTTGCATGAGACAGCTATTAGTGCCACTTTTTAATTAAAAGCACAAACCATATTTCAAGAAAAGTGCATTCACAAGTCATTAAATTGTTTTTCTTTTTCATTTTCCAGTCACTCTGTGCTCCTCCTCCATACACTAAGGCAAACAAAGGAGATTTCATTGTAACCTCAGAAATTACCTGCTTTATAGCAAATAGTATGGCTCATTACCATGATCTCATCAAACGGGTCAAACTAAGTTCAGACATTTCTTAATAACCCTTTTCCTTGTTCATATGTATTTCATGAATAATGAGATATTCACAATAGCTGCAGAAAGACAAAACATCTTCATACATACTCTTTACAGATAAATTGATGGGGAAAAACAATGAAAAGATCTCAGGGTTCAGACTGTGAATGACAAATATGCAAATGAAACAGGTTGCCTGTAAGTCAGAAAGAATATTGGCATCCTTTATTATATTCATAAAATTCCATTATTTTTATAGAACACTAGAACATCAATTCAAAATGTAATGCCTGTGCTCTGAATTTGCACACTTACAATAAAATGAAGACATAAGGCACACTTACAATGCATTAAAAGACACAACAATGCTTTACATTCCATGGCATTTACAGATACTTCTTGAGGACATGGACAATTGATGTTTTATGGATTGTTTGCCCTCAAATAATCTGCTTATGTTTCCTCTTTTACAATTTATGCATATCACTGAGGAAAACAAGACTCCAGAAACATCTGCTTTCTAGGCAAGGATCTGAATAGTCATATTCATACATATAACTCCTTTAAAAATAAATGCCATGCTGCTTTATTTGCCACCAACAACTGTCTAAGAAGCATACTTATTTTTCTTTGTATGGCTTATGTTTACGTGACTTAATGCTTCTGTTGTATTCAATGAAGATGCCTCACCAGTAAACTAATGGGTACACTCCACAGATATTCCAGATTCATACAGTGCAATGTTTTCACAACACAGAGCACTATGGGATCACTGTATGAATCCTAGAATTCCTACCTCTCTTGTGGTTTGCAACTTGAACAGAAGAAACAGTTGACATAGCTAATTTGGGAGCAACTGGATAGGTAATAAAATGAACAGCAAATTAGAAAAATTATCATAATAGGTACAAATCAAAATATTAAAATAAACATCTTTATTCTCTAACTTTTGAATTTAACAATGGTTATTTTTTTGTAAGGAAAGGGTAAAGTTACAGAAAATGACAAGGAAGGGAATGTAACTTACATCTATGCACTATGGCAGTTTTGTGTTAGAAGTTACTTGGTGGTTTCTACCAATCCATGACAAATGACTATATGGTAACCAGGGTGGTCTGAAAAGGGTTTTATTGAATTTGAATGCACATTTATTCTGGTCAATTACCATAAACCTAAACCCCACAATAAAATGTTTAGATATTGGCAGATTTCTGTAATCATTCTTTTCATACACTATCCTTAAATAAAATATTTAATCTATGCTATATGTTAAACACTGTAACAATATGCTGCAAACACACAAAAGCTGAATAGAAATGCTTTGAAGTTTTTGTGTTTTGTGTTTCCTACCAAAACATCAAAACTAAATTTACTTAAACTCTTATTTTAGGGGAAGAAACACTGAATAATTCTATGCTGTTCAAAACATATTTTGCAATGAAGTTAGGTCTTAGATCATACACAATATAATTAAGCAATGAAATCCATTAGAAATGCTAAGTATACTTTAATTGAGAATGTTTTGATTTAAATTTTTTCTGAATAACACAGGCTAATCCTTACAGAGAGCAGAGGAAAAGAGATCAGTCTGGGCGGGGTTTATTTGTTTGTTTATAAAAGACATGCAAAAACTTGGAAAATACAATGGGAGTTAAATGAAATAGGAATGCTAGGTATTTATCAGAGATAGGTTGTTTTAAGTATATGGTGAATAGTTGAAACGAAAGTACATTTCTAATCCTTCAACAGAGCACAGATCAATTAGTATTTTCTGTTTTGTTGGGCACATAGAGACTTGCACGTATAACATGGTACATTTCACATGCACATGGTGTATGTTTGATTTGGTGATCGTGATCCATAGACTTAATTACAGCCCTTCTCATGTAATTCCCAACAGATTCCCAATACATCTCATTTGGTTTAGGGGCCATTTTCTAGATTGCCTTTTCATTAATTTTATTCTCCACCTCTGTGTGTTATAGCACAGACAGGACACCCTTTGAACACAAAAGCAAGCCACAGGCCAGATTTCTGCAGGGACTTTTGCGGGAGGAAGGGGCAGTAAATAAGAACAGAAGGAAATTATTTTTATAATGAGCAATCACTTTGAAATGTGAAGTATAGCTGAATACTTCTTCAACTAACAAAGGATCTTAGTTTTATTAGTCATCTTAAAAATTAATTTTGTTTCTTTCAGTGCTAATTGTCATATCACAGTATGGGAGTAATTTTTTTGTGTAGAACTCAAATTGTAGAAAACCATGGGTCTTTCCTGCAGAGAACTTGCTTGTATTGTGGATGGCATGAAAGCTGAGGATGCTTCTCAGCTCACTTGGGAAAACAAAGTGGAAACAAGACATTAAAAATGCTCTTGAGGTTGACAGTGACAACCTTTGTTAACTTAAAAATCCCAAAACTTACCCAAATACAGATTGTGCTATCTAAACAAATCCAAAATTATTCTGGGCTTTCTGTGTATCACAGATTTTAGTCTGCATGTCTACTATTCCCATATTTGCAATAATTTGCACAGTCTGAGTGTTGGAAGACTCCCTTTCCAGGTGAGGTTTGTTTTATAGTTACTTTCTCACAGGATAGCATTACTTAGCACTAGAGAAAAATGAGTTGGATTATCATCGTTACTAATTTGCCACCAGGTGGGACTCGTTGAGAGCAATTTCAGTACCTTTAGACCACTAGGAATTTTACAGCATCCTACCTTGGTTTGGTTTAGAAACCTCAAGGGAAGAAATATTCGGCCATATCCTATCAAACTTTGGAGGATCTGCATGCATCAGGAAAAATCAGGTTTTGTTATTTACATCTGTGATATTGTTCTAAACAGGCAAGCATATGGACAAAGACAGAGATTACACACAGCTATTACTGGACTAGTCTAAGTTGCACTAGAACAGAACATGACTCCACAGTGAACAAGAAAACAAGCAATTGATGATTCCCAAAACACCAAATGGACATAAAAGTACTGTGCATAACAATTTCTCTTCTGCGGCTTAAAATATAGTTTTTCATGACAAGAAGATATCCTAGGCCAATATATATGGCTGTAACACCAGGAACAAAACACGAACATATTGTGTTAAATCTGCTCTGCAGAGATAAAACGACAGTATCAGACAAATATGGACTTCTTACCGAAGACACATATCTTACTGTAACATCCTGTTTCAGGGCCTTTTGAGTGAATTATATATCTGTTACAAGAAGAAATATATTTACCAGTGGAGTGGGCCTCTTCTTTGGCTTTCACACTTTTGTGTGTTTCATCTATTTCCTGTTATCTCTGCTCATGTATTTTACAGCTTTATTTTTTTTTTATCATAATGTTAAATATCTAAATTTCTTATAAGTTCTACAAAATGTGTTACTTGCATGAAGCTTTTTGTGTGAGCAGTAGAATTAGCTGTTTCTCTTTAGAGCTTTATGTCCTTTTATTAATGTGTTCTGGGGCTAGGGAAGTAAGGAATGAAAACCCTTAGCAGAATGGTGCTGGCTCTCGGAGCTGAAAGTGAAGGGGATGGGATTTTGAGGAAGGAAAGAAAACTTGTTTCTCTGTTTCCCTCTGCCTAGCTTTGAACATTAGATTGGGGCCATGTTTTTATAATCTTCTCTGACTACTGCAGTGGTTGTGTCTTGTCTGAAACAAACAGAATTCTTTTTAAGGGTCACATCAGCCTTCACTGAGGTGATGTTAGTGGGAGAGAGCTATTCCTTCTCTTCCATCCATGAGGAATTCAGCTGGGTAGTGAGTAGACTGCAGTTGTCATAACCTGCTTGGCATCAAGGGGCCAGGCCTGTATATCTTTATCTAGATGGTGAGTTTCACTGTTATATCCATCTTAATGGAAAACCTGAAGGGGAAGCTATGACAAAATGACAGGGGCTTCAAACATCTGATATGGGAAGGAGAGCATCCCAAAGTATCTTCTGACCCATTTTTCAAGGGTGAAAAGAAATTGGCCACATGGGCTGTCTGTCCCTAAGGTCCTCCCACACAGAGAACAATTAAAGGAAAGGATGGGGACCTGTTCCATTTGCTGTTAGGCAGTCTTCTGCAATTGAATGGATCAACTTGGAATTTAATTACAATTACATCAGATTCTTGCATTTTTGTGTTTTTTTCCTTACCAATCAAGAAAATAGAAGAAAGAAAAACTGAACCAGTTGGGTAGATTCTCAAGCAGTCTATGTATTGACTGACATTAACCTGCCTCTACAGGCCAGATCCACCAATTCCCACACATAGGAAGTGCAAGTGCCCCAGTCAGAGTGGATGACAAGAAATATCTCCGAGCTGTACCTAGTGAGGTTCTGTGGTAACCCTCACCCCCTCCACTGACACACTGCTACCAAGCACCTGGGAGACCACCTTCCTCCTCTTCAGACACTCACTGACAAATTGCACAGTTAATTCCCTGTCAAATTCTGGTCAATTTAGGAACATTTAGACTTGACCTAAACATTTTAAAGTGACTGGATATTAGGCATAACATAAAAATCAGGAGTTAAAAGGGAAAGCAATCGTTGTGGCCTATGTTGTCCTGCTGTCCCCTGAGCCTTTTTTTCTTTTAGCCATTGTGCAGCATCAGAGTTGTTGTAGAAAACAGGTCACATTTCAGACTGGAGATTCCAATATCTTGTGTTGTTGAGTACAGTGTGGCACACCTGCTATAAAAATTACATGACTAGTGGTCTTAGGACTAACCCTCTGGAATTTTTAATTTCATAAACTGTAGGTCCTACATAGTAAGACAGATACTTTACATGATCAAACTGATATAATCAGTAATATTTAATATATAATTTATCCTGATTATGATTTTTCTAAGTAATATCATGTCCAGGTAAAATCATTCCTTGTAAGGCAGAAAAAAAATTTACATATTTCTTAGAAATTCTATATATGTTATAGATCTGTGCTTGTTTTAGCAAACTTACTTAAAATGGAGGTTGTGACTTACTGCAAAATAATTAAAAATTCCTTGACCCTTTAAATTAGATAACAGTGAACTGAGTTTCTTAATGGGCATCCAAAACAATAAAGAGCGTATTTACAGTGCCTGGAGATTACCATTTAAGTATTATTACTAGTGATTATTACTGGTTATTACTGATAATTATAACCATATTTAAAAGGACTTCTGGAGGTCATTTATTTCCACAGTTTGCTCATGGCAGGGTCAACTTCAAAGTTCGATGAAGCTGTTGAGGGTCATACCCAGCTGAGACCAGCTGCTGCTTGGTAATGTGGTTAATGCTCCTTAGACTTAAAGCTTCTGTTATGTGGGTTTTTTTCAGTCTTTGGGAAAGAGGATATATTTTACTCATAGCCTTTATTCATGGCCTGTCTTTCCATCAAGATTACAGGTTTCTTGATAAAGGTCTTTCTTCGTATCTTTGACTGTTTTTTTAATGGTGATAACTTGAAATGCTTTATCTGAAAATGTAGGTGAGATGTCCAAGTCTAAGAATGTTGGATATCATTCCCACATGTACATTGGAGCAGATGAGTCATCCCTTGAACAGACATGGGAAGATTCATTTAGCAGCTAGTTATTCTTTTACAGCAACCTGTGAAAATACTTCTAGTCCTTGGTGATTACCACCAAGGGCTTTATTTATAGAGAAGTTGACTAGATAAACCAATCTTTTCCAGAATAGTTCCATGTCTAGAAACTGCATTTTGTAATTAGAGTCATTATTTACTAGAATAATAAATGAATCTTGGAGTAAGTATTCTAAAAGATGTGCTATTTCAGTCTACTGTAAAATATTCCATGACTGTTATTCTGGGTAAGAAAGGCTAAGAAATGTGAAAGAGAGTTTCTAAACGTATGTTTGAGTGTTATTATTTAAAAGTGAAGCTACTGTAGGCATTTTTAACAGTGGAGGTTTGCAAGCTGTGTGACTGATAAAAAATCAGAGATGACATTTTATATTTGCATTGGATATTTTTGAATTTTTAGTTACTATTGTTCCAAAGCCAATTATATGTAGAAAGTAACTTTTGGAAAAAAATTTTACTTTCATGAAGTAAGGGAAAACTTACTGCATTATATTTTTTAGATGTATGATTATTTTATTTTTCTCCTCTCAATCTTTTTTTTTTCTTTTTAATTTCCTCCCTTATATACAGTATCAGAATTACTTCCAATATTAAATGAAGAAAATCTATCTCAAATATTCATTGGAAGTACAGTCTGCACCATGGGCTATATCATGGTTTCAAACTGGAGAAATGAAGGAAATGAATGGGTAGTTTCAGCCTAATTCCAACTAGACAGCTGCACTTGAAAAAAACCCTGTCACTATTGTGGCAATTAATGGGCATTTTGTTGGTTTCTCATTCCAACCAAGTACTGAGCTGGCAGTAAAATTAAAGTGTATTCCCAGTGAGAGGGGCTGTCCCTGCTCAGGGATGATGGCAGAGGTGATGGAGTGCAGGAATTCTCTGCTCCTGCCTGGGCACCTGTGCTCTGCAGCCAACAGTGCCTGAGCACCCCCTCAAGTGATCCTGCAGGCCCAGCCCACAGACAGTGCATCTGCTGGAAATTACTACCCATAAATCTCTAAGTCTTAAATAATGCTTACTGGTGGCAGACAGGGAGCACTTGTGTTGGAAACTATCATTATTAATTTAATTTTTAATAACAATAAGGAACCCCAGTGAGATATGCTGATTAAGATGTTTTCTAACTTTCTTTCCATTAAAAAAAATAATTAAGAATGTATCAGTATAAACTTAATGATTCAGTAGATCTTCATGTCTCTAGCCACAGAAAGCTGGCCTTGCTGCTACCTATTTTAAACTATGAGTAGGCAGCAGTAAATATCTGTTCTCAATTATAGATGCCTGCTGAGGACACTGGAATTATGACAGTTGGTTTAGGTGCTAATATTGAACAAAAAACCTACGTTTTTTAAGAAATAATGCTCACTGAAATCACTGGCAGATTTAACAGCTGCTGGAGTAATTGAGTGTGTTTATATCAAATTGTATTCCACCACGTCTTGCAATCATCATATCATTGTTACAGCATTTCTATCTCTTTTGGTCTTTTTGAAGCTATGATAATCTACCTCACATAACATTTGCCTTTTAGCACTTTCATTAAACTGCAAAATCTAAATCACTGAATGAGAGAAATGCTTTTTTTTTTTTTAATCAACCTTATATTTTATTAAGTGAAAAAAATACTTTGCCAGTATTAGGCAATCTTTCTTGGAGCAATGTAGGAAGTTTCATACCTGTTCCTTTGAAGAAAGGAGAATTCTGCATAAATGTGAAGATGTGGTTGTTTTATGGTAGCTCCACAGCCATAACAGCTTTTATAACTGTTGGAAGAATTTAAATGTAATTAGTCCTTTATGTGTCCACTTGTAGAGTAAAAAAGAAAGCGATCTTTTTAGAGGCTTAAAAATAATCCAAGGATCCATCTCTGGAAACCTTCAGATATCAGAAAAAATATACCACTGATTTGAACAAATTGTTGGCTGATTCTCAAAATAGGGCTGAGGAAATTCTTAAATTTTAAGTATTTCCAACAGAATTTTTGTAAAAGTGCACAATGGATTCAAGTACTTTGGAATGAAACATTTTGGTACCTTCTCATTAAAAAAAAAGATTACTTTGTTGATAGGTTTCAGGGGTTGTGTTATTATTTTTTCTTTGGACTGGTTCTGCTTTTTCCTATAAAAATGTTAAAATTGTCTGATCACCTGGAATTACTGTACAATAATTCACAACTGATGAACCGTAAATCAAGATTTTTCTTAGATGACTACGCTGATTTGGAAACCTCATTCTTTGCTTTAGTCTGTGAAATAAACTGATTACATGTCTTAAGGAACAGAAAGAAAAGTATGAGAGGGTAACATAGAAATGCATTTTTTTCCTGGCAATTTCCTCCCAAGCTTTATAGATAATTAGATTTTAATATATCTTTTTGGGTCGTGTCTACTCACTATAAACTTCCTTGAGATACTGAGCTCAACTTGCATATTGCAAGTGCCTTGTGTTTTGCATGGGTACTGTGGTACATATTGGAATGTCGATATCTTCTAGAGCATTCTATCACTGGATTATTTATTAATTTGTGATTAAAAGAAAGATAACTCTGAACTGAATAGTTCTCTGTATATTACAGCAAATCAAAAAGCATTGAAAACACTATGTGATTGACAGACTGATTTAAACTAACTCAAGATGATTGTGGAAAACTGGGAAGAGGAATAAGAAACAACTCAAAACTGTCAGTGGCTGTGTCTGAGACTGCTGAGCACAGCTCTTCTTATCTGTTAAAATTGGTGGATCTTGCAAAACCAAAACTGAAACGAAGGCTCCCCCAGATCCCATCCCAAGGACCTTGCAGTGCTCCCTGGGGCAGCACTGGTGGTTTCTGACCCTGCCCTGAAAATAACTTTGTTTATTTATAAATTTGTCCCAGTGATTTTAGCAAAGAGGTGGTTCCTGCTCCATGCTGGGCTCAGTTCTGCTTCCTCACGTTCAGGGGTCCCATCCTGGCTATATAGCAGCAAACTGGCTTTGTTGGGACTGCTACCAGATAAAACTACCCATAATGGAATTATTTGGAATGTAAATTTCTCTCAGATCCAGTATTCAAATGAGCACATCACACCACAAAGGCTGTTTGTATTTTGTATTTTCTTTCAGCTCAGTAATGTAAAATCTAATTTTAAAAGCAAAAGATTTGAAGAGCTTCAAAGCATTAAAAGAGAGAAAACAAATACTGGCTTGATATTATAATCAGTTATCTAGTTAAGGTGATTGCCTTAGACTGGAGGCCTGATTAACAATATTATTTATTAGAAGGTCAGATTTGGATACAATTAAATTGAAATGAGAACATTTTGCTTATATGTCCAAAATAATAGATACAGTCTGAAGACAATATTTGAATGTTTTTAAGGAGATAAATATCTTAATGGTCTCTCAACAGGACAGCTTTCTGTAAAACTTGACCTCAAATAATAATAGAAAAGTAATGTACAACCTAGTTATGCATGTTTATGCCCTGCTGACATGTGTTGTGTATAGACTCTAGTCCAGAGCGTGGCATGGTAATGGCTTTGCTCACACGATTGAAGATTTAATAAGAGAACTTCTTGGTTACTGCAAAAGGGCAAAATTCGGTCCAAAACACTTTGTGTTGTTATTAAAAATGAAAAAAAAATAGTATTTGCTCTCACCACCTTTTAAAGTATATATTTACCACATTAGAATTTCATTACAAATGTGAAAAACAAATAAAGCTACACTCATCCAGACACTATTTTAGCTCCAGAAAAATACTTATGAGATTTTTCAAGGTTAAGAAAACAATAAAATAAGAAAGTGCCCATTCTTTTCTTTTTTTTTTTAACATCTTCATCTTGCATTTATTATCCTAAAAAAAAAACCTCTTAATTTTAAATTGACTCTAAAGAAGAACAAAAACACAGAGAACAAAGCAGAAAATACTGTTTGGTTATTGTGATTGCATCTTGCACTTGGGTGCATGGTCTGTCTCTAAACTCTGACTCATCTGCCAGCAGCAGGCTTTAAGGTGATAATCACCCACACAGAGCTATTTGCACATCATGTCTATCTTATCCTCTATCTAATTATACCCTCTATAACAAACTGTTTAGCATAATTAGTGGATTTATGCTTTATGGAAAAAAAGAAGCAATGGCTTAGAAGACTCAACTTTTGGAAGGTGTACATGTACAGATTAGTAATCTTGGTATTTGGTAATAATAATGAACATTTTTGATACACTGCTCTATGTAAAATTGTACAATCATTATTTTAGCAAGTAAAATAATGAAATTTTCAGAATATTTACATACTGTATATAAGCATTGCTTAAAATTATGAAATGGTTTTGGGACTCATTAATTGCTAACACTTTCACCAGTATTTTTTCAGACAGGGCTGAAAAATGCTGAAAGAGCCAGCATTGTAATCAAGAATGCCGGAAATGATCAGAGAACCTATTATTCAACTGATAGACAACAGCAGGTACAAATGACCTTAATGGGAAAGCTCTCGGGGTTTTTTTTTTTTTCCTTTGTTTGCTTTGTTTTCTTCTAGATGATCAGAAAGGATGTTTACTAATGACCACTCTTTTTTTGTGTTCAAATTTTAGTGCTAAGCTGCTTTAATACAAAATCCTTTGAGGTAAAAAAGGAAAATAGAGAATAATACATATATGTGCACACTGGTGAATATATTTTATTTTTCTTTGCTGGCTTTCATTGCAGTCTCAAAAAAGTTTTAAATGAGCTTGAGGTGGCATCTTTGCATGCTGGAAGTTTAGTGTTTCTAATCCCCCTGTCCCAACCGCATCCTCCTTATAAACTAGAAAAAAGCTGGGAGCACATAAAAGCCAATACCCCCCTGTAGATGTTTGCTGCCAGGCAAAATGAAACCCAAACTGTATCTCCCAAGAGTAACTTCCTGCCCTCAGATGGGGAAAAACTCTGCTAATATGAAAACAAATACTGTGTTAGCATAGACAAAACAAAAATCATGCAGAATCCATTAAAGCAGCCACGACTAATTAATCTTGTTTGGTTTTGTGTGCTAATTGGACTTCTGTTAAATTCTCTTTGAGAACAGGATAAATTTATGGATTATACCCTTGTTTAACAAAAATTCTGCTATTCCTGTGTTACAGGAAAGGTGTCCAAAACATTAAGCAAGTAGAGTTATTTCTCCCCTGAGCTATTTAAGAAAAAACACATGGAAAAAGCAAGCAGTATTTACTTGTGCTCATGAAGAGATGCTCATACTTCACCCTTTTTAAGTAGGCAAAGAGACATGTTGAATTCTACCACATATTATCCCAAGACATTTACAGCAGACTAAAGAGAAAACACAAATTTGCAGAATCTCTTGTATCTCCTATAGAATGTTAAACAGAATTTTCTGTTTGTAATAAATAAACTGTGCTAATCACTGCAGTGTAAAATACAAAGAGGTCAACAATGCATCCTTTCAGCTCACCATTGTTCAAAAGGTATTTGAGTTTCCCTATTAAGTTTTCAAAGGCCAACATCTGCTGATGCTCAGAAATGGTAGATGTGGTGACGAAGGCTGTATGGAGGGTGAAGTGAAAACACAACTATATAGACCATGCAACACAGTAGTACTAAGAAACTATAGCACAATCAAACTCCAAGGAGCTATTTCCCATTCATCCCATTTCTGTTATTAATGGCAGGAATATTTCTGAGAACGGTGACATAAACTTATTCTCTTTCATTTAGTTAATTTTTTTTTGTAATGAAATATGTATAAACACAAAGTTTTGAAAATAGCACATCACTATGAATCTGCAGGCGTGCAAATACCAGAGGAGACACTAGAGCAGGCAAATGACATTATTAAGATTTAAGGCCTTCATTTGCACATTATTGTCATTGATGCTGGTTTTCTATTTAAAGCAGAAAACAGATGCTGTGGTATTCAGCTGCTAAAACTGCTCACACTTGCAAGGGAGATAGTTTTGATGGCATTTAACTTGCCTGTCTAGAGCTTAACAAATCAGTGCTATTCATGAGCGTAAGTAAACTGAGTTGATTATAAATTGATAGTCCTGACCCTGCATCATAAAAAGTGAGACAGTTTTACCCAAATTGTTAAAAACTTTTCACTTGGATAGCGGGTATGGCAAATTGCATTTAACAACTGTGATATTTTATAACTGTGATTGTCCTGTACTATGCAAGTTGTGCCCAAAGTATTTGCAAAGCAGAGGCTGTGGGGAATATTCTTTTCTTGAGCCACAGCAGGATCCCATTTCTCCCTCCCTGCTTTATTGGCAATTAACTAACGTGCCATGACTGTATGCACTCCTCAGCTGTGGAACTTAGCTGAGGCTCACAGCTCAGCTGCTGTCACTTGGTCTCTTCATATGTTTTATTTAAGTAATCATGTATTTCATTCATATAGTAGTTATTTATGTAACAGTGTCATGGTTTTGTTATAGTTTAAGAGTTGTATTTCGGTACTTTGATTGCGTACAGGAAAGAATTTTCTGTGAAGGAACACAATTCTATTTATTTTGTGGAGTAAAGCCGAGTTCAAAGCCCACTAGAGTTAATGCAGATTCCAGCAGATACGCTGCATTTGCTAATCTACTTCATAGAAATGAAAGCTATTCTATTTATAAACTTTTCCATTTGCTCTTTGAATGTGCACACACATATACATACATGAAAATTACTGGTCCTATACTTCTGTTATTAGCAAACGCTTTTCTTCAAAATGCTCAACAGATACTTGCTCTGCAACAGTGTCTTAATTCTTTGTGTCACGCTGGTTTTATAGAACTCAGTGCTCATCTGCTGATAAGAATCGATCAGAAAATCTGGGGCTGAATGCAGATGTAAGGAGTGACATTGTCTCTGACCGTGTAATAACAGTTACATGTTAATGCCAGAGAGGAAGGCCAATACACAGTCCCTGCACCACAGGGCATGCTGTCAGAGAAACATTATCTACCCCAGAAAGGGATGTTGGGAAATCAGATCCATGAAGCTGAATGACAATGCAAAACAATACTGGTTTTATTACTTACTACCAATACTGGAAATACTGGGTATACCTGCAGAGAAAGAAAACACAGAGAAGTGTAGTTAGCTGTTTGCTGTAGCTGGCTAAGCTATTACACCTAAGATTCTGAAAACATCTTCAGAATACTTTATCAATACATAGTTAAACTCAAGCATCTGCCATTACGTGCCCAGTCCTTTATAAATGCAGAGTCTTTTAGATTTTTCAGTATGGGGCTGCAGGGACCACTAAAATGCATTGACAGATGGGATGTATAGCAGCTCTCTGAACTTCATGAATTTGTTCAGAACAGTTTTGTATTTCAACTAACCAGCCATTAGGTTTAATGCTCTAGATAAAAATATCAGTCATGCATGTATTATGCAGATCTGGGAGAGTAATTTAACTAAGGGATAGATGCATTGCTAACTGCTTTGGCCAGCTGCTTAAATCAGTTGTTACCTTCTGTTGCATTAATTGTATAGAACTATTTTTCCCTCTTTTACCTGACAGTTATCTAAATTAAACTATGTAAAAGAACTGTAATTGTGTGAAACAATCTACTGCAATAGGTTGGCCATGTTGATTAAGCCTCTCATTGATTTTTTTTCCTGTGTTCATTTCAATTCCTAAACTGAATTAATGCAAGGAAACCATTCTGAGACAGGTGAAATTTACCATAAGATGTGGGGCTGTTAAGGAGTAAAACACCTTCACTGGATAAGCAGTGTGTTGTATAATGCAATCCCAAGAACTAGCTTCTTGTCAGGTCTGCCCTGAAAGCAAGGCTTTGTGTGTAGCACAAAACCATGGATATGAAATCTTTCCTGAAATGCCATTTTCTTAAGATAAACTGCCATTGTTAATGGGACTGTGCCTCACCACTTGGGTTAGTCAGAAACTGCAGATCACTATTGAAATCCTGGGTATTTTCATCCACTTCTTTAAATACGGTTTGCCTTTTTAAAGTTTTCTTGACTTTTGTGGCATGCATTTTGTTGCAGAAATCTGTGTTTCTCCATTAAACATCTGCTACTCTTCTTTCAACATCTATCCTAAAGTTCGCCCTTACTCAGAGATGGCATGGACCTCACCCTGCAATTAAGTGAAGGAATGTCTTGAGAATAAATGATATTCAATGTAAGCAAGGTTGCAGACTCAAGCTGGGAAAATCCTAACTTGTGGCATGGCTGAGACAATGCTGAAGTAAGAGAATTTGCAGAATGGGGACCAAACCCAGACTTTTTATGTTTCACCACATGAATCCTGGGGCACACATCAGAATTGCACCTCTTGGGTTTTATATCCTATGGAAGCTGTGGCCTGGCAGAGAACCACAGACAGCACCTGCTGGCTCACCCAGCCCCACACTCAGATGCTGTTTGCAAACTTAATTATTTCTACTTCTGCTGAGATTAATGTATATTTTCCAAAATTTTAGCACCATGAGGTATTGAATGCTAAATGCAAATATCATCATTATAGAACAATGTGGTCATAGTTCTAATAGTAACAAAACCTGCTTTTTTTGGTTAAGATAATTAAAGAAAATGTCTATCCCCTTATTTTAAATATGAAAAAGACAATCAATTTTCAAATATTTTCCCCTGAAGTTTCAATAGCAGCTTGTTTAAATTTTTGCAAGTCATTGTAGCCGATTTAAATTAGCAGGATTAGTTTTCCTTTCTACACTCATGGAACCTACAAAAATATTAGATAAAAGACAAAAACTGTGTTCTCGCACTCACACTTGCACTGTGAAATGGTATTTGTATTTCCTCTGGGTATACTCCCCCGCCTCAAACCTCTCTGTCTCCTACACACACACACAAATATCCTTTCCTTTCTCTCCTAAACAGATTGTAGGAGAGGAAGAGGTTTTCCTGCAAGTCTGGTTGCCTCATATTATCATACTTCAAAATTTTCAATGAATTCATAGTGATAAATGCTTCCTGGGCAGAGAATAATGAACACAAGATGCCTGCTAGCCTGAGGGCTCTGTATTAACCTTGCAAATATATCTTCAGTTCTGTTTCAAAAGCTGTTCTGCTATTTCTGTACAGAGTTTCTTAGTTGGTGTGGTCTTCTGTAACCAGACTGATTTTTGTGCTACCAGGTATCCCTGTGTGAGGTGGCTGGCCTTGATATTGCACTACTTTATGCCCTTCTTACTGAAGAGAGTGAGAATGACACTTCTGAGTTTGTCTGGAAAGGAGCTGGTTATGTAGGGCCACGAAGGAGGATCTATTAACACTCTGTGAAAAGTGCACATATGATGGGGAAATTATTCTTAGAAGGAGTGTTTGTGTGAGATCTGGAGTTACATATTGAGGCTAGCTCTTGAATTCAGCTGAGCTGGATTTGGTGCAAGTCCTTAGGTAATCAGACACAGGAGGTGGGATTCTGCTCTCCCTCTGTCAGTGTGGAGGCAGTCAAAGGTTTGAGTGCAGGGCTCTGCCTGTGCCACCACTGCTGGGGACAACCACAGGCTGCGGGGTCATCCCACCACTGCTGGGGACAACCACAGGCTGCGGGGTCATCCCACCACTGCTGGGGACAACCACAGGCTGCGGGGTCATCCCACCACTGCTGGGGACAACCACAGGCTGCGGGGTCATCCCACCACTGCTGGGGACAACCACAGGCTGTGGGGTCATCCCACCACTGCTGGGGACAGACACAGGCTGTGGGGTCATCCCACCACTGCTGGCCCTTGGCTTGAACCTGGTCTGTTACGTGGCATGGATTGTTTCCAGTCAGCCTTGTACTGAAATCTGTAAGCACTTTGCAGCAGTGGAGTGATAGGAACAGGTTAGAGAGATGAAGGATCAGGCCTCCTTTAATGGACAGTTCTATTGAGCAAGGTATAAAAAGGGATTGAATTTACATCTATTCAGTTGTTAAACCAAAACAATGTTCAGCCTAAATTATCTTCCAGTTGAAATCACTGGGATGGTTATTAATGGTAATAGATTTATAGTGAGGGAACATCAAGTAAAGCATGCAAAATAAGTTCAGAGGTTGGTACTGCCCCTGAAATTGCAAATATTGCAGGAGAAAGTCACTAATACTATTTATTATTTTTGACTTGACTTGAGGGTGGTGGTTTGGTATATTACATGTGCACTGTAAGTGCATCTAAATATATATGCATTACTTGAGAGGAAAAAAAATCTGGTGTTTTCCTTTCCTACGATCTTCAGCATCTGCCCTGTAATTTTCTCATTTCCCCTACTTCCAGAAATGGGTTGTTTTAGCTCTTAGCTACCATGGAGCTGGTTATTGAGATGAAGAAAAAAGCAAATCAGATGCTAGCAAAGAAAGCAAGTTTTTGATTCTGTCTCTACTTTGTGTCAGTGTGAAATCCTTAACACAAAGAAATGGATCAAGCTTTCAGTGACAAGGACCACACGGCTGTTTCCAGTGTCAGGGCAGGTCATACCCTGCAGACTCTCTTAGCACCTCCATTGTCAGTGCCTGCATGTGCTTCTGGCAGGACTCTTAAACAGGAACAAAATATAGAGCTTTTCATAGCAGAGTCAGAGCAGGGATGTTAATGCCTCATCTGATCTTTTGCTAGAATATCTGCCCTACAGCATGACAGCACTCCCTGCAGTGAATCTTTCTTCCCTTTGCAGCTCTTCCATTGAGGAATGATTGCAATATCAGATGCTCAGCATCAATTTCAGAACTTCTGAATTCTCTAGCAATTTAAAGCCCTGAGAAGCTCGATGATACTGGTGTCTTGTAATCCTTCAAATGGAGTGAACATTATGATCATAGGAGTAAACTTTTCATGCATTGTTAAACCTGTATTCAGACAAAGGATTACACACAGTGAAAGAAAATTCTTTGGAAATTTAATCTGTTTCATCGCAAGAGCCCCAGAACTCCTGCTACTCTTAATTTTGCAGTTGTTCCTCTGTATAGATTGAATTAATAGAAAAGGAACTGCTTTGATGAAGTTTTTTATCCCTCACCTCTGCTTTCCCAAATGATATCACCAGAAATAAATGGGACAGAGGAAATAGTTATTGTTTTATTGGGTAACATCTTTTAAAATTTGGACTTTGTGTTATGTTTTAGTGAGTCCAAACCAGTATTGAAAACTCTGTCTAGGAAACACCCAGTAAAATCAAAGGATTTTTTTTTCAAGTAATCGTAATTTATTGATAGAATATTAGAAACTTTGAAAAGCCTGAAACTCAGACTATTTATGGCACTTTGAATATCTTGAAACAGACACTTTGCCTTCCCGTGCTGCTGGTGCTTAAGGACCAGAAGTCTCTTTCATTTCACCTTTTCACTGTATATGGCAAAAATAGAGTTGTTTGAAACCACTGACGTACGGAAACATTCATTTCCCAGCAACAGATGTCACCACAGCCAGCACAAACAGCCAGCTCAGCAGGGTCATGCAAGAGGGTAGAGTGCTGAAGGATAATTTTCAAGCCCTATTTTAAAAAAAATACAGCACGTTATTTATAATGCATTGTTTTTAGGTATGTACCTGCAATATTTTGCTGGCTATTGCACTGGATACCCAGTTGAAGGAAAATGAGTTTTATCAGTTGCAGGTTTTTGCAGTTTTTTCTGACACTTCTGTTTACATGAATGCTCTTGATATACTGCAGTTTTGTCCTCACACTAGGTTTCCCAGCCTTTTGTGTGACATGTTCCTGTGGCTTTATACCTTCTGTAAGCTTCATGGGCTAATATTAATATGCAATATAAATATAAAATAGGAGCAATATGAAGCTTTGCTGTTTTCTAACTTATTGATTGATATCTTCTTTTTTCTCTTTGAAACACATTGTGAAAATCATCAAGGAGCAATATTTTATAACTTCAACATCAGTGTCCCATTTGTTCAAATGAAGTAATGAAGAAGACACTGGAAAACTTCCAGTTACTTGGGAGAATGGGCCCTTAGAAAGTGGGACACTGTCTAGTTTATGAGTCTGCTTTGACTGGAAAGCAGGATGTGTGATCCTTTTAGTTAGAGGCATCCTTGTTCCCTGGATTCCTGACTAGAAAATACAATGTCTTTTCTTGGACAACTTTTTTTTCTTGGACAACTTCATTTATGCTGATCCTTCAAGATGGCTTTGTGTCAGCAAATATTTATGGGGAGAACTGAACATCAATGAGGGTAATACTAGTGCATTTCTGGAGGTGCCATAAGTTTTGCCAGAAACTGTTTCTGTGGCAGCTGTGCTGCACGGATGCCTTGTAAGTCTTTTGCCTTTCAGGGAAGTTTAAAGCTGTGCTGCTGCTGTGCCATGGGAGGGGAGGACCACTGCAGGAGAAATTCGGTAAACTGAGACTGTCTGCCTGAGTCTTGACTGAAAAGAATCACCAATATTTCCCATGTCCTGGTCAATGCTTTGTTTCATGTTGAACTCTGAATTAGGAAAGTCATGTAGCATCTGGGAGGGGGTTCTGCTGAGTGTGGGGCACTTTTGATACAGGTTATTGGTGGTGAAGGGACTGACACAAAGCAAGCAGGCTTTGATGCAGGGAGCTCAGTGCAGTCTGAGACAGCTCTGTCTGATGGAGCAAAGAATCTAAGTGCCAAAGGTGATCTAAACAATAGGAGGAAGAAAGGGGCCAGTGCTGTCAGACACATACAACTGCTGAGGAGAAAAGCTATCCTGTAATACCAAGTAGTGAGAAATTCAATAAGTTCACTTTGTGTGTCAAAACATATTGCAGAAAAAACTATCTATAGAAAGTGGCAGCACAAGGGAATGAATGTAATCGCAAAATAGTCAATAAGATAGAGTGGAAATATAAAATAAATGCTGTGTGGAGACAAATGGAGAAATATTGTTAGTGCCAGTAAACAACAGAGTACTTGCTGTCTTTCACAGGTAAAGCATGGAAAAATGTTTTGCATTCTCCTGAAAAACTCAGGGTAACTTCAAATGGTGAAGAAATAAATGGATAACGAAAACAGCTTTGGGTCAAAGTTTCCGCTATGACTATGGAATAATCTGGAATGGCCTTCTGTTTCAGGAGCTGGAGCTTGAAAAGGTATGATGAAGTCTTACTAGCCACAAAAAAAAAAAAAAAAAATGGCAGAAATGGAGCAATAGAAATAATAGAAGTTCCAGCTGGGAAAGATTTGGAAATATACATTAAGCTTCTTGTTGAATCTGTACAAATTCCATAAATTCAGAGAATCTCAAGAAAGAGTATCTTTTTATTTTGTGGAAAGAAGAGAAAAAAATTCAGAGTGTTTCATTTATACAACTATTTTTAACTGTATCTTATTTAAGCATATTCATGTAAACTTCAAACATATATAAATTTTTAAATAATTTGGTCTTAGATGAAAAAGATGGTATTTGAAAATTAGAGGAAGGAGAAGTATCAAAGGAACACTGCATTACTGGATTATACAATGTGCCCCCAGAGAACTGAAGTAATATATGAAGGGAAGTCATTTCTATCAACATGTTCAGGAATGATTTCTTGAATCCACACCTGATTAGGGAGACTATAACACCAGGGCTGCATTGCTGACCACATGATGGAGATGGTGACATAAAGGCAGCAAGTTAAGTGAAATTATACAGACTGTGCAGAGAGTTTACACAATAATGCATAACTTCATATGCTCCAACACATACAGCCTTAAATCAGGAAGTGACAAAAGAAATGAAGATTTACATATCATAAATGATTTCTGCTTGTACCAATGAATCAGACAACCCACAAGAAGACAAGCTGATTTAGTTCTGAGGCAGTCCATAGGACACAATTCAAGAAGTAGTTATCAGAGAACCACTTCTGGACTGAAACTCAACATGCTTGTTGAGAAGGAAAAGGATAAAAAAAATCCTGCAGTATTATTTAACTTTGAGAGAGCGGTGAAACGAAAATGAGGACGTTAGATAAAAGAAAAGTGAAAAGAACATCTAAAAAGATATGCATGCAAACAGCATGGATGCGGCTGGGGACAAGTGTATGAGAGGCTCAGAATAATCATATATAACTCATCTCTTTTTTGTAAGTTATAAAAATTAGCTCTCTTATAAGCAAAAAAAAAAAAAAAAATCCACATCCCAATGCCAAATTGAAAACAACAGAATGTAGATGATTTTGGAAAGATATCCTTCAAAAGTGTAAATCTTAATGGAGAAAGATATGGGAAAAAAGCCATAAAATCTGCCAATTTAAATATAAACCACAGTATTTCGAGAATCAACTTCCTGTGGACACAGAAGTTAGTAATTCTTTTTTGTTAAAACTATCATATTAGAAGCAGGAGGCCCAGAGAGATAACAGGGAAGATAGGCAATGACTAATTAATAATTAATTTAATATTGAATATGAAATTAATTGTTTTCAGCGATGTTCACAACAAAGAGAGATTCTCACTTGCTGAGGAATTTTCTCAAAGTCTGTTAGCATCTGAAGTAAATGGTATTGCACAAGAATTGCCATGAGGAAAAGTTGCTCCAAGAAGTATTTTATAGGAACTCAAATATGATGTTTCTGTAGCATATAACCTGTCATGTAAGTCAGCCTTGAGGCTAGAAGAAATGTTTTAACTGTGGTACAGTCTTAAAAAAAGACTCAAGGACTCATCCAGAAAGTAACAAAATATAGAAAAGGCACATTTTTATGTCATTGTAGAAGAGCCATGTTGTTATCCTATCTAGACTATCATGTGTAGTTTTAGCCTCACCAAATAAAAAAATGACCTCATAAAACCAGAAGAAAAAGCACAGATGACCAGAGATGTGGCATGGTTTTATGAGAAGATGAGAGAGATCAAGATTTGTCATTTAAAAAAAAGAGTGGAGAAGTGGATAAGGTCAAGTCTATGTAATGATAAATGGTGTAACAGATGTAAACAGAGGTGCATTATTCTTTGTTCCTTCCTTATTTAAAGAGGTACTGGCATAACTGTAGAAAAAAATTTAAGGCAAGCAAAATGAAATACCTTTCACTCATTGTCTCACTAAAATTTGAAATGTATTGCCATAAGGTATCACTGAGGTCAACCTTACTTTAGCTGGGTGTCTCTCTCTGTTCTGCAGCAAGCAACCCCAGCAGTCCAGCTCAGAAAACCAGTTTATTTCATGGTAACTGAGAAGGTGAAGAAGAAATCCTTCATGCTTCTTCCTGTTTGCCATAAATTCCTGCTGCTGCTGACTGCTGAAGTCAGGATGTGAGGGTAAGTGGAGTATTCGTCACCTCAAACAAGGTTATGTTTTCATGATGATGTTTTCATCATCACTGTCATCCCCAGAAATGACTACCTATTATTTACAAAATGTTTTGATTTTTGATGAAACTGTATATTTGCTGAAATTCACTGATATTGTTTTAACATAGAGTTGATTTAACAAGCTTCAGACACTCTTTCAGTAGGTGCTAATTCCACTGTTCCGTCTGGTGTGTGCTCAGCTGACTGGGAATGAGGTAAAACTCGCAGCAAGCTGAATTTAGCTAAAATCAACCTGGTAAATCTCACCATATTTCCCAAACATAGCTTTAAAGTATTAATTCTGTGAGCCACACTCAGTTTTTATAACAGGCAAAAAAAAGTGAATACTCTTACAAAATGTTTTTCCCTGCTTTATGGAAGTTCATTTTTTTCTGCTCAGTAAGAATTTTATCATAATTTCATGCCCCCATACTTCATGGTTTGTTACTTAGTCTATTACTCTCACATTTTACTTGATAAGGTCCTGCTTCCTATGATCTTCATTTCTGAGTTTTGATTCTTCACAGCTGCTGCTTTGAAGTCTTAGATAACATTCTGAGCATTGCACACTGCTCCTGGTTTTAAACTTTTCATTCAGCTGCGTGCATAACTCTGTTTCTCTCAAATAACTTTTTCAATAAATTGTTATATCTAATATTTTAAAATGAATGTTTTGCTTTTAATCAGGGCAAAACTGTGGACTCCTTCTTAAAAGAAGCTAGTAACTTCTGTCAAAAGGTATCCTCATTTTCAGTCCTTTCTTCAAAGGAATTTAAGTCTGTTTCTCAGTTCAGAGGGATTCTGTATCACTGTGTATTTCACATACGTGTGAAAGGGAGAACTGATGCTCATACTTGTCTTTGTGCCTGCTCTTTCAGCACCATGATTTATTTTGACCCAGTCCTGTCCAGGACCAGGAAATAGAGCTGTCAGTAACTTCTTGCTTTGGATAATATAGAAGTGTGTTGGACAGTACACATGTGTGTTGTGGAGAGGTTGTTAGCTGGAAACAAGCAGAAGTAAAATCTCAGGTTTTGCCCTCACTTTCCCTCTTCAGCACTTGATCTACAAGAGTGCATCTGAATCTGGACTGCAGGTCAGCATCAGGGAAATGTTTCCCAACTTTTAGGTCTTTAGTTAGTAATAAAAAAAATCTGGCTCGAGGAGTTTTTTTCCCCCCTTTTTTAAATGGACAAAAAATGAGCAAGGATCTCACATGTTGAGCTGAGAGTGTCACGAATCTCAAGACAATAAAGATGTATGAATGGAGAGCTGAGGGCACTGTGGCTGCAGCAGTACTGCAGTTATTCCCACTGTTTACTCTCATCTGTGTGTCCCAATTTTTTCATTCCTTTGCCCTTTCTGTGCAGTGTCCAGGGATGTGTCTATGGATATAAACATGTGGCTCTCCTGGAAGTTATTTACAACCATGTGAGTGCACAGATGATGTATACTTACAATTAGCACTTACAAATTGACACCTTGACCAATTATACACACCAAGTCAGAAAGAAATGACAAACCTTTGCAAATATTAATCTTCCTTCAGAGTCATGATATGGGGCAGAATTGTAATAATGAAATATCCTTATTATACAAAACTACTTACAGATATTAGCAGTGCCTTTAGGTATAGGCAGATAAGAGCCAGGGCTCCACGGTCGGCCCTGATAATTCTTCTTGCATTTTCCACAGTCTGGGCCCGTTGTGTTATGCTCACATTCACAAAGTAGTCTTTTGTTTTCTTCTTTACAGCCAGTAGCATGAAGGTTGCACTTACACCTAATTTTAAAAGGCAAAAATAAAACAAAGTGGAATATTATTTAGAGGTGAGGTGAGTTTAAGCTCAAGTTTTAGAAAAGCATGTCCTATGGCAACTGCTTGATTTTTGTGCCTTCCTTCTGGTATTGTTCTACCATGAAAGCATGACATCACAAGACATCCCTGCAAAGAGCAAGTTACAGATCTTCAGCTCACACAGGTCTAAAAGCAGAAATGTCACTAAGACTCCAAGATGCTGAATCTTGTTTTCACTAATGCAGCTCCACTGAGAACAAATAAATGATTCATAATTTTTTTACAGATAGGTCTATAATTTTGCAAAAATTCAAGAGTTACTATTCCCAGGAGCAAAAAAAGTCCTCTGCTTATGTCCTTACAGAATCTGGCCCAAATTAAGGTCCAAATTATACCTTGGGAGCCTGAGAAAACAGACTTCATTTAAATATCCTCTGCAATACCGCACTTCAGTAGAAGGAAAACTCACTATAATGGTATCTTGCCATTCTTGTTCAGCAAGTACTGTCTTGTTCAGAAAGGAAATTTCTTTTCCTGCTTTAATTTAATATAGCTGTAGTAGCTGAGGGTCAGACGAATTGTTTTGGTAGGCACATTTAGTTTTACTTGGGAAAGAAACCTAATCAAGCCTTGTGACAAAAGCATTAGATAAACCAGATTTTGCATCTGGTCTTAAAACAATTGTATTTTCCTTAAATTCCCCTCTTTTCCTGAAACTAGGACACTTATAGAATGGGTTACTTTCATAAACAGTAAGGTATTTTCACCTCTTTCCATCCCTTTCCAGTGGATGTCAAAACCAGCTAAAATCTATTTCTGTTTGGGGCTGGAGAGAAAACCAGTACTTAATGACCTTTCCTGTTTGTTTTCCTAATGACTGTACATCTAGTAATTTACAGGGTTCTCATGTGGGCATTTGTCACCTGTTCCATACAGTGACCAATAATTAGAGCAAAACAACACGTGGAATGGCCAAGTGCAAATTAACAGCTGTCAAGCTGACTTCCATTTGGAAGGAATATGACCTGAAGCAATTGGCCACATACATATATATCCCCAGGGTAAAACAAGCTTGCAGTTGTCATAAGTAGCTGCTGGAGAAAATCCACAAGAATATGTAATACAGTAGATGGTGGAGCATTTTCCTCTGTGCTAGAAATGAATGAAGCTGCTGTTATTTGAGCAATGCTCATTCTAAAGAGAAAAAGGTTCAACACCTTTAAGAAATGACCAAAATGTATTCAGTATGATGGACAAGACAAAGAGTAATTTTTACGCAATTTACAAAATGTGTGTGCTTGAAGACTAAATCAACTGTGAAGTTTTAGTGAGTTGCCATAGCAGAATGAAAGATGCTTGTCTGGGCATCAGTGAATGACATCTATCTATTCACTAGGCACTGAATTGTAAAGTGTACTGCTATTAAAAAAAGCCATGGGTTGTTTTGCTGTCCACAGGAATATGAAAATGGAACACTCCAAACAGGACAGATATACAGTAATAACAAGACCAAAAAATAGAGGGGAAAAGTAGGAGAGACTGTCAAGTAACTAAAACAAATTAGAGAGAGGAAGGGACTGGATTTCTTTCAGATGCAGATTTCTGTTTTATTGTAGGGACTCAGTGTCAGAGGCAGCAAACTGATCTAGGCAAGAAGAAAGAAGTGGTTGATTCTGAGGAAAAGCTCTAGTACCTAGTGCTCTGAAAGGGTGCTGCAGACTTGTACAGGAACTGAGGCGGGGGAAGATAAAGGTATGTCCGTCTACTAATTGGAGTAAATATTCACAGCTCTTTTAACAAGCACATTAAAATAAAAAATAGTTGTGTCACAAAATCTTGTGCAAAATCTCTTTGCACTTCTTAGATTCTGTGCTTGTCAGATGGTCCTGAAGAGAGACTGACCCTTCCTTAGTTTTACTTGCATAGGTAAAAGTCTTGGATGGACTCTGTCTTTCCCCATCCTCCTCTGCTTCTATCCAGTCCTGTGCCATGCCTCTTCAAATATATATGCAAAACATATGCATGTATTTATATGTATGGATATATAGATATATATGTATACACATACAAAAATAACTCCCATATAGCCTCACCATTTCCTTTTACTGCCCATTTGCCCTAATCCCTCTGTGTCCCACCTGTTTACAGGCTGCCTCCTCCTTTTCCTGATTTCCCAGGCGAGAGATTTCCCATGGGCAGCACAGCTCTGCTGCCCATCCTGGTGCCTGTTTTTTTAAACTTCTTAGGTCAAGACTGCTGCAGAAGAAGTGCTTCTCAGCCCAAGGTGCAGCACCCCCACCCACAGCAAGCAGCTGTTCTGGGGTGCACGTGGCAGGGTCCTGCACAAGGCATCTCGTGTGACTGCAGCCACCAAGCCCCACCAGACAGAGACAGCGAGACATCCTGGAGGGCTACGATGTACCAGATACAGGCAGCTCTGCACAGAAACAGCAAAATGCATTTTCTTCTAGAAGTAGCTGGCAACCTCCCGTCAAATTTTAAAACCCTATTAACTGAGATTTAAAACCTACAGCCCTCATATGGGCATTCAGACTAAATACGCACAAAATACACAAAGTAGGGACATTTTAGCCACTTAGCTTCCTAAATGGAAGAATTGCTAAATGGCTTTTCTTGTCCTAAACCAGTAGAATAATCAAAGATTCATTCAATCAGTGCCTTTATACAGATGAACTTATTTGTATGCTTTATATGTATTTTTGAAGGCTTTCCCAGCAGAATTACCCAGAATGCTGCATCCTGTCTTAAAAGAAAATTCCAAGTAATAATAAAAAAATGAAAAACCCGCAACCAAACCAAACTCCAATGCATGCCCCCTCCCAAAAAATAGGCAAAAAAAAAGCTATTTAGAGAGAGCAATGTAGCCTTCTAGGAGTATGATTTACAGAGAATAAGAGAAACAATAATTTTAATCACTGTAAAAAAAATAAAGGACTGATCTAAAACTTTTGTAGGGAGAAGGTAGCCCGAATCTAATGTTAATAACTGAGCAAGAAAAGAGCCAACAATGGTGAATTTCCAAATGATCCTCAGAATACTTCCAACTTAGCTGCATACACTTTCTAATGAGAAGGTAAGGAACAAATGTGGTCAATATGTTTTACTACGAGACTAGCTAAAATTAAGGTTAAATGTACATTTATATTAAAAATGTCAAATTTGACTTAATAAGAGTTAGTTTTATTAGGGACAAAAAGAAATGTTTAAAAGCCCCCCCCAGACCACAAAAGATCAGATAATGTGTGGTAAAAACTTTGCCTTCTTAGTGTATAGGCAACAGAAAAGTTTGGTTTGGCTCGTGATTAGTTTCATACAAGTACAAAAAATCTGTAGATTAATAGAATCTGAAGCGATTGAACTGATAGTCTTGTTAGTGTCAGGAACTATATATAAAGAGTAAAAGAGTGGAAGCCTAAGTAAAGTAAGATGTTCAGAAGACTGAACCAGCGGCTCTGAGTCTCCTCTTGCACCATTTTTTTTTTGTTGAAGCCACTTGACAGATCTTGAAGAGATTGATCATGATTTCCACTGCAAATCAAGGCTGTAGCTGAACAGTGAATGTGTGTAAAATGCAGGCAGTGCTAAAACTGAAAGAGAACAAGAAGCATCTGTAGAAAGCAAACAGGAGGGTACTGTGTCTGGGGAAAACCAAGCCACTATCAAAATCTGTGCAGGGAAATAATATTTCATATGCTTTTGGTTTTTTATGAAGGGTGCACTAGGAATTGGACAATCTGTCCCAGGGACCTCATCAGAGTGTACATATGCACAGTCTCAGAGACTTCTGCAGAGAGAAATGCGTGTTGTGCTTGAGGGACAGACTTCTCTGGATGACTGAGAGAGGTAAATGAGCATAGCGGGGCTGAGAGATGACTAGAGTACAATAAAAAGCTGCTTCTATTTGCAGGATAGGCAGTAAGGAAAACAGAAATATTTAGGGTTACAGAAAGAAGGCTATTTTGGTAAAAGCAGCACCCCGATAGACCATGAGAGAGCCACCCTTTTGATGAGATCCACTGGATTGTCAGTGGTGTGAAAACAAAGCAGCACAATCCGGACTTTAGGAATTTCAGCTGTCAGTCAGCTGAGCACCACTGATCTGGGAGCTGACTTGGGCTCCCAGGAGATCACTCAAGATGTGCAATCAGCTCCCTATGGAGGATACCCAAATGAATTTCTTTCTTATGGAAGATTACCTTTCTTGTCTAGTCCAGAGAGCAGGAAGGATTTTGTTATCTTATATGAATATCCATGGTGATAAATTATTACTGAAAATCCTAGGTACCATTTGTAATTTCATTAACCACTTGCTTTGAAGGCTGTTCCTAGCTGTTACTGCTGTCAATCTGAAATACTAACAAAAGGTTTAATTACATACAAAGCACATTCAATGCAACAATCCCATAGACTGTGTTGATGCTTCCATTGGCAGAATGTGCTTGCTTTGGCTGCTTGTATAAGAATGGAGAAGGTCTGAAAACCTAAAAAACTGATTTCACCTCCAGTGTACTGGGTTCCATATGACAGTATTCCATGGCTATCTTGAAATGCAAAGAAGAAAGTCCAAGTCCTGTAGAGGGTATGATGTACACATACCCAGAAAGGCAATTACTGGGTAGCAGTGGGTGGGTAACAGCTGCTGACACACCAAATGGGTTTGCCTGTGCAGAGAAGGGGATGACAGAGGGAGCTGTAATCAGTACAGCAGGTTTGAGAGCACAGGTTAAGGTCTGGAAAACAGAATAGGATCTGTGCTGCAGCCTCTGCACTGCACTGGCTAACAGCTTAAGGGCAAAATCTCATGTAAGGACACAGGAAATGTTAAGGGCAAAGTGCAGTTCTGAGATACAGTACTTGCTTACTGTAAATGGCACTGCTGAGGTCTAATGCTTGTAAGACTTTACAGAGAATGACTAAAGTCCATGATTATAAATATCAACAACTCCATGGACAATTAGGTCACATATGGAGAGATGTAGGCCTTGAAATGGCTTTCTACCTGAAGGGAAAAGCTGTCTGCCATTTATATCTGGTGACAGTTTTTGCAGACTTTTTTATTATTGCTCCTGGTGGGGCAGCTCTGTCAACGCTGAGCTTGTAGAAGTGAATGCCATGGCCCCACAAAACTTGTCTGCATTTGGAAACTTCCAGCCTGATGTTTCTGCAGCACAGTGGATATCCATCTTCCCAGTTCAACCTGCACGGACTCCCCCTGCTAAGCAGCCTGGTTATAGCACATGCAAGAACACATTTCCCTCAACGTGCAAATTCAATTTTGAATCACTGGAGATTGATATTGCTGTCCAATGCTATAAACCCTAATTGTGTGGGAGAACAAATTTGTTTTTCTGACCACTCATCTCTGACAGACTCATTATTTTGTCATAAAGCAATTGAAATGATATTTTTGGCAGTTACATAAGGCACAGGAGCGCTCTGGCGCACTGACGGAGCAGTGCGGTTGTGGTGGGAGCCCTGGGTGTGCTGTGCTCCTCACAGACTGTATATACATACAGGCAAGTGACATTAAAATGCTGTAAATATCACTAAGGTAATTGCTAATAGCGTGCCGACGCTCTCGCAGGGGAGCGCCAGCCAACAGACTGGGGGCACGTGAGGGGATCCTTGATGTTCCAGAGATCATTCACGAGAAAGAAAGACAAGAGGAGCTCTTTGATACATTTTTAACAACTAGCCATATGTTCCTCACTTAGTTACATCTTTGAATCATTCTAGGTCATTGGCAAAGTTTAGAAAATTAACTTGAAACCAACTTGGAAGCCTTCTACAGAGACTCTTTGCTTCTGCACACCACGGGTCGGCTCCCTGCTCCCAGGTAAGCAAAGCCTGAGCTTGCAGAGAAGTTGGTGTGTTTGCTCTTCACATTACTGCCCACACAACAAAATACACCATCCCCACACAGTCTTAATTAGGAATTTTAAAACACTGTTGGCAATGTTAGGAGACTTAGTCAGCTCCCCAGTGCTAGCAAACTTCCAGTACCTTGTTACAGTTGTCCTAAAGGACCTGGCTGTGTTTATCATGACATCAAACGTGTTCAGGCTGTCATCTACATTATGTCTCTCAAGCTTACTAATAACCTTGAGGCAGCTTCCCCAGTGAAGTTTAGTTTTCTAATGTAATGTAGACAGAGGAAAATTCCACATTACAAATACATTTGAAGTGTTAACCTCAGCCAGGAAGGAGGATGAGATGTAAATTGAGAAAGCAAAAGACAAAATATACCATGAAATCTTTGCCGCCGAATCATTATTTTTCAGGTTTAATTTTTTTTTAACTCTTTATGAGACAAATTCATCAAAACTTGAAAAACTATATTTACAGATAAGTTACAAAACTCTTGCACCATTGAGTGTACAAGGGAAACATCATTACTTAGGTAAGTCTGGTTATTCTTTGATCTTCTCTGACAAGTGAACACGTTTTCATTGAGGCTTACAGTCTCAGAAATATCATGTTGGCTGAACAATATTATTCATTATATTATAAGATTTTTCCATATCATGTCAAAACCCCAAAGTGTGCTGATCCTTATTGTAGTTTCCTAAGTGTAATAGATTTTGTGGGGATAAAGACAAGTATAAAGGATACTGTTGTGAAGAAATAAAATGACTGCTGGTCAATTTATTTCCCTGGGGATGAAGCAGACACACTTTCATCAAAGTGGTAACAAGCTAATTACCGCAATCTTGGCTACTAATGCTCGCTGTAAGGACTCCCCATCTGAAGTTTTGAGCTAAAATGGTCAAAATCACCTAAGGACAGTTGACAATCAGATAATGGCATGGCTTGCTGGCTGCAAGTAGGTCTACTGAACAAATGTTCTGGCTTACATGAAGCAAAAAAGTAAATTCTGTTTTCTATTAATATATTTTTTGAGTCATATGAGTGTGTCAGGTCCACATTGATGTATGGAATCTAAATGCACAGAGGGCACTGCGTCTTTTTCTGGACATTAGGAATAAGACCCCTGTGGTCTGCTGGTTAAATGTAGCCACTATAGTGAGAGTAATGAAATGTAAGTCCTTTTATTCACTTGTTTATTTCTGGCAATGCATTTGGTCACCAGTTTTTTCCCTGTCCTTTTCCCTGAATTTATCTAATACATCATAATCTCTCACTGAAAAAAAAATTCCTTTGTGGAATAGGGCTACATCAATAATAAGGGATAAACAAATTCAATAATAACAAATATAACTTTGTATAGGTAGATATATTATTCTTTCATTTGCAAAGCAAGGACTAATGGTGGATCAGGTTTTTAAGCTTCTTAAATCTGTAAGTAGCTTTGTGATTAGAAAAGAAGTTTAACCTGTGCTCAGTAATCCTGCTGCACCTTAGTACCTTAGAATCCAGAGATTTACAGAAGCCTCTTCAACTTTATTCTTTACTGTTTCGTTTTCAGTGCTAAATTTGGGAGGAAATTGAATTAGATTTCCACAGGCAGTATGGAAAATTGGGGAAAATAGCTTCTTATTCTCCCTCAGCTGAATATAATGTATCTAGTGGGGAATGGCAAAGCCGAGGCACAGAGAGCATGTGTGCTTTGCTTTCTCAGCGGCCTACTTCCAAGCAGTTTGGAGAGCTTGAAATTAAAAAAGAAAACACAGTCCAAAAGGGCAGCATAATTCCCTCAGTCCCAAGGCTCACAAAAAGCTTACAGGGCATGGAATTGCCCACTATTGCACTAAGCCAACCCAACAATAAGAGTATGCAAGTGCTAAATTTAAATATTAATAAGATTTATTTTGTTCATATGCTAGTAAGCATTTCTATATACTGTCAAATAAATGCTGGCCATACAAACAACTACAGCATCACTATTGATCAATTTATATCTCAACCTGTATTTGATTAAGATTGATTATTATCTGATAGATGAATACTATCTTCCTTTTGAAGCAAAATATCATTGAGGCAGGTCCTTCTGGCTTTACTTCTCCTTTTCCCCTGCCTCTTTCAGACAGAGGGCCACAAGCTACCCAACTTTGCCAAATAAACTATAAATGTTTCTGAAACGCAGTAGTTTACCAAATGACAGCCTTCCAGACAAACAGAGGCAACTGAAAATGTTGCAGCCTAGATCAACAGCACTCATCACAAACACAGAAAGGAGGAGGCAGTAACCTGAGCAAATGCCTTGGTAGCTAAGCATTTATAACTGTTCTGAGTTTGTGACTGCATAAAACAAGTCACAGACCAACAGACATTCTGACTTTAGAAAATATTAAGACTTTCTTCAATTTCTTAGATCCAAAGTCTAAAAGTAATCTTCTGATGCTTATCTCTAATAGAACAGAACAGCTAGTTATGAGTCCAAGTTATTTCAGTTTACTACATTAAAAATACCTTAACATTTAATACTTATAAACTTAGTCAAGTGGAGTGGACACATGCTTTTTCTAACTTTGATTCCATATTCTCTAAGTGTTAAAGCAGAAATAAATGTCTGAATATATAGCTGCTGTTAGCTGCTGTAGAAAACTAACTTCCATTCCCTTCCTAAACATTCATTTTTGCTTTTTTTTTTTTCTTCTGAGATATTAGTTTTTATGGAAATGTGTCAATAAAGAAAGTGATTATAAAATCTGCCAGAATTTGCCAGCAGCGTGTTCTGCAAATACTTTCACTCGTGAACACGCTTTGTCAGATTCTTAGCTGATGTAAATCCATCTGGCTCCTGCAAATTCAATGAATTTATGTTAGTTCACACTGCCTGAAATGAAGCCTAATTTGTTTCCAGCTTTCATTCATATTATCCTAAGCTTGGTGGCTGTATTTTTAGGTAACGACAGATAATCTTTTTATAATTTTCAATGGCAGATCCAAGGCCTTGAATAATCATGGGATGGAAACTGGGAATCAGTGGAGGATAGGGAGCCCAGGTGTGACATGCTTAGGGACAGGACTGCTGACAAGGCAGGATGCCAGTATTCCACATTGTTTCCACGCATCTATTTTGCTCTAATCTTTAACCTCAGAAACAGGAGCTTCTCTTACCTACATGAAGGATGCTGACAAAGGTGGTCATGTCTCTCCCAGAGAAGAAGCAAAACCTCTTGTGAAGATGAAGATCAAGGCCAAGAATGACTGTTTCTTCCAGCGCTACCAACTGGTCATTTAACACTAGTGATTGTTTTGGTAGGCTCCCAGACTACCAATGAACAGCTGAGAAAAAGTAGCTGATGTAAACTCTAAGTACCAGTGTTACAAGTAGTTTTGCTTTTTTTTTTCTCTCTCAGTTGAGAATTTTTTTCTTTCTCACTGGAATCCCTTTGGTCTCACCCACTAAATTGCTGTACTTCACACAGCAATCAATGTCTTGACACAGGGATGGGTTGAGAGGGCAGAGGGGGAAGCAGGTGTTGCAGAGGTACTACAGAGCTCCGGTGTTCTGAGTTGCCATGATGTATCTCCTGTTTTAATTGGTTTGCTCTAAATATCGAGAAGAACTAAGAGATGGTAAAAACCTGAATATCCTCAGCTCCCTGTAGTGTTACATAGCAGAGTGGAAAGGTGTACTGGGACAAGAATACATCTCTCTCCACCCACCAGCTGGAAAAACACAGTCTGCTTTGCAGTACCCTGCCACTGTTTGTCTGATAGTGCAAAGAAGTAAGGGAGCATGTTATCTGAGATTTGACAACTGCTCATTGTTATCAGGATATTAGGAAAGAAAAGCTTTTGGTATTTTAAATTCTTTGGTGCTGTCCAATGTCCTTCTTAGCCAGTCTTATTTTGCCATCCATCATTCGGCAGTTATCATTATCAACAAGTCAACAGACATGAAAAGATACTTGAAAATCACCTTCTATCTTAATCACGATAATACCGCCAGCAGAATTTAACTGCTGTATTGCAGCAATTGTAAAAGTTTCTACCACAGCCAACTAGATTTAAGAATGTGGTACACAAACCTTGCACAAAAGGTGCAGCAATATATCTCTGCAAAGTTTTGTAGCTTAAAAATTTAAAAAGAGAAGTTAAGAAATCTTCAGGAGTCGGTTTTTCTTCTCTTTTCTCCTGATAAAAATCTGAACACTGGGTTTGAAATTCCCGGCATTGTGCTAATGTGCATCACCACTTTCAAGTTTATTGAGAAATCAATTTTTCTGGGTTTAGTTTAATTAATAAGTACCAGTCTTACATCTGCTCAGCAGCACTCCCAAGAAAGCTGCTCTAAGATGCTAGTGATTATGCCAAGCTTCCTGTCTTTATTTGTAAGTAGTATTTCACAGTATCAGCTGCCAGCTGGTCCCAAATTCTTTTTCCCAGCACAACACTGAAAAGGAACAATTTGTTGTGTGGGAGGTCTAAAATTGTGGCCATTAAATTACCATCCAAGTGGACATGGTTTACAAATCCCATTCAAAAATGTCATTTAACTGTCTGCAGTGGGAGAAATTTTATTCTCTCATGCAGCAATACCCCAAATGAGCTGGTAGGAATTTGTGTCCATGACTGATGCAGGACAGACCTGGCTGAAGCAGAAATATCTTTACTAGCTTTGAAAAAGACTCAGGGCACAGCACCTATTGTGTCACAGTAGGGAATAAAGTATTTATTGTCAAAAGAGCGGTGTTTCTGCTACACGAGAAACAAGCAATGTTAATTTCATACTGATTTTGGTAACCTTTGGGGGACTATAACTGAGAAAAGCAGCATAAGGTCCATGGTGCACACAGAATTCAACACCAGGGGAATCAGCTCTGTGAAGCCATACATCTGCTGCTCTTCTTAAAAGGTTTTAAAGCATTTCTGTTTAAGAGACCTCCCAAAGACTCATTTAAAAGCTCAAACGTGTCGCCAGTAGTCACTGCTGTGGATGGTATACATGGAAGAGTGGGGTATGGGCTGTAACTGGTTGCCTCCAAGGGAGAGAAAATGCCCTTGTGCTGCTCTGAGCAGTGCTCCTGGAGGAGCAGGGCGTGTCCAGGGCTCCCTGCCCTCCTTACTGGCAGAACCTCTGCAGCCCAGGCAGCTGCAGGGCTGGGAGGGTGGCTCCCTGCAAGTAGGCACAGAAGGGGTGCAGAACAGCCCACCCCACCCACACTGGCTTTTGGCACCAGGTATCACCTGAAAAAGTGAGACTTGTGATAGCTTAAATGCAATGAATAGCCGGGTCCTGCTCCTGCAGTCAGTAACAGGAAAGGTTTTCCTGTGGGTGCTGCTATCAGGATTCAGTGAGGAACCTTCTCCCCTGCTTATTCTCTGATAGGCATCTGTTGTGACCAGCTCTGCTTTAAATCCCTCTTGTTATGCTTGTGTCTGTAGGTGACGAGATTTTACAAATCAAGAAGTCCTGAGGAGATTTTCACCTCCTTTCCAAACAAACACAGAGACCAGGGGAAAAAATGTTTCCAAGAAGATAAGTTGAATTGAGAAAAAAACAAACACAAAGCAGAATCATTTATGGAGGCTGTCTAACTCTGCCAGAGGTGCTGCTTCAACCCCAGTGACCCGAGCTATGCAGGACATGCAAGAATATGGAGCTGGAGCAAGGGAAGGGAGCCAGCAGAAAAGCTTCAGGCAGGTCATCAGGAGACCTGCTTACTTCTCTTTGAAAAGAGCCAGAAAGAAGTCGGACTTTTATCCAAAGATAAAAAGTCTGTTGAACATATCCCTGTGTTTTTGCTATGTATGTTGGCCACCTTTTGCTTTAGGTGAACCACCAATAAACACAACCAGCAATAAAGCACACCAAAAAACGACGGCTAAGTTTTCTTTCCAGTTAAGTTCTGTTAATGGTTACGCGTGACCTAACAGTCCCTGAAAAGCCCAGGCTGTAAGTACTTTAAACATTAAAAATCAGATTTCCTTTCTTTTATTGTTTTGTTTTATAGGAGATGTGTTGGGGAAAGGTAAAAAAAATATTGATAAAAGCACTCTTTTATTTTCAATACCACCATGAGATGTCTGGACACTGTTTGGACATTTAGAAAAACTGCTGAGATAAGTGAGGGCATGAATAGAAATGTAATTCAGGTGGTTGTCTTTTCAGACTTTTGAGAATCCAGACATGAAAACTTTTGGCATATGACTTAGTGGCCTGTCCTCTTAGTGTATTTTAAAATGATAAATATCTAAAATATTTTTGAATTGTGCAGACTAATGCTTGATTCTGAAAAGTAGCTTAACATTTCCCTCTTCATGCTCATTCCTGCCTCCACCTCATCTGCACAGAAGCCACTGCCACTGAAGTTCATCGCTGTAACCACCTGGAAAGGCACCTTTTTACCCAGGTGAACTGTGTCTTGCTGGTTGTTGCTGACATTGCCTCCAGGTGCTGTGAGTTCAGGCTTGGTGCCCTCTGTCCCTCTGCCATGGCCCCCAGGGCTCGGAGCCCACTGCTGCTGGCAGCTCCTGCTGCTGCCTCTGCTCCAGCCTCGCCAGGGTAAGGACCAGGGTAAGGAGAGCAAGGTGCTCAGCCCGAGGGCAGCTTAATTGATCTTTTGAAAAACCACGTAGGTGAACTTCAACTTTAAGGATAATTACAAGGTAGCTCTATTCTCTTTATTAAATCAGAATTCTCTCATTAAACCAGCAAAGCTATGAGTGTTTAGTGACCTCTTCAGAGCCGGACAGGGAAGCTGAGTAAAGATTTCAAAGCTACTTTTCTCTTGGTGTTTTCCTGTGTTTCATTAGGGTTGACTTTTAAAATGCTTAGGCCTCACAGCTCCACCTAAAATAACTGGGAATTGGTAGCTGCATATTATCAAAGCAGACACTCCCAATCTACTTTAAAACACACACAGCTTTTACAGTTCTCTTTTTGCCTTTTTTTTTTTCTTTTGATTTTTCATCTCAGTTGGAGTCATAACTTGAAACAGAAAAGTTTAAAAACAAAACAACATTTCTCAGTGTTCTCATGCTAGCCTCAATTTTTTAACTTCTAAATTCCAAACAATATAAGGTCCTTGTCACAGAATAATTCCCTCTGGAATGATTATGATAAGAATTATTTGCCAGTAGTGCCATTGCAAGTAATTGATTTTTTCAGCTCACTGTTTGAACTGAAAGAAAAACTGGAGGAAAAAAAATCATTTGTGTCAAATGAAATGTGTAGTTTTATCTTCAGATTTTAAACTGCATTTTAGAATATTTTTCACAATTTAAAAAAAAAAAAAGGTTTTCCAAAGGAGAAATTGTGACTCTTTTGAGTTTTTAGAAAAATTAGTCAAAAGTATTTACTAATGTGTGTTAAATTCTGAAGATACTTTCAGCCATTCCAGACAGAACTTTCTTCTGTGAATAATTTATGCTTCAAAAATACTAATCCTTTCTCCTGCTGAAGAAAACTCAATGAAAAGTGAGCTGCTGAAGTATGCCAAAAGCAACTTAGCATCCTACAGCTAACTTAAGATACTGAAAAAGAGCTACTGGGTCACCCTATTTCTACCCCTGTTGGTTATAACAAACACAATGATATATGTTAGGAGTACTTGTAAACAGTTAGGAAATAAAGTCCTAAGTGTATCTTTTTAATTTCGGAAAACAATTCTTATTTCATATAATGTACTTCAATTGTTGATTTTGTATAGAGAAAGCTTATTTTCTTTCTCAGAAATACCATATGTCAGTACTTTTTAATTATAGAAAATACTTATTGTTATCTTGAAGCCAATACACTGGCTAGAACTGCAAATGTTTTATTATGTTGTGTTAAAGTCAGAGGAATTATACAAAGATGGGAAAATACTTTTCAGTATTAGAATGCTTGAGATAGGTGATAAATGGTCCTGTTTTCACTTGCTTTTTACGAAAGAAAAATCTAAAGGGAATAATTGTATTGCAGAATCACAGACCACTCTGAGTTGGATGAGACCTACAAGGTGATCCCCAGATGGCCTCTGGGTGTGACTCCTAATGGCTGATGTGTTCTTCTCAGAGGTGGGTGGCCAGAGCTGGGCAGTCCTGCGCAGAGGCAGCTGGAAAGGAGCTCTGAGACCTCAGATGGTAAAAGGCAGAGGGGACCTGGCTTTTGGCACTGGCCTTGGAGCAGCAAGCAGGTGACGTGTGGACATGAGCAGGTGACACATGTGGACATGAGCAGGTGACACATGTGGACACGAGCAGGTGACACGTGTGGGCACGCATACAGGCCTGCCCATCGTGGTACCACCAATGCTGGTTTTCCCCAATGCCAAAATAGCTCTGCCATTTGGTTTAGTACTTGTCCTAGCCACAAACTTATGTGACATGGGACAAGAAATTTTGTGTGTGTCACTGTGAAAAGGGGTTGCTGACACTGCTTTGGGAAGTTGAAGTTACAAAGGGCTGGTAGTTTTAAAGCCTTGTATTTTAAAGTCTTAAAATTCTGACCCAATGTCAGATTAGAATAAAATAGTGATCGGTTTTGGCCTTCAAGTGCTTGGAAACATTTATTATTCATGTTTCCTTTTAGCAAATACTGGGTAAATCAAAGAATGTTCACACAGATGCTGCAGTGTCCACTGAGAGGCTAGGAACATGCTTTTGTTGTCTATGAAAACAGGCATGCTGGGGGGCCGAATTTGATCCAGTGGCTATAATATTCCATGTACCAGAAGAACTAAACAACTTCATTTATATTTTAAATGTTTCAAATCAATACTTCCCTTCATATTCTGTGACCCCCGCCAGGAAACTCTTATAACTGAAAATTTAAAGAATAGATTTTAAGTTATGAATAATGTAAGGCTGTCGTAGGGGAAAGAAACAGTGAAATACTGCTGACAGAAACAATCAGTACATGTTTATACTGAAGAACAAACCTTAGCAATTCCATCTTGCATAACATAGCTTTAAAAATCCTATTCAAACTTTTCAGTTTTCCCTGAAATGTCAAGCAGTATTCTTCAGCCTTAAACTCCACTACAAAATATACAAGCTGTTTTTGTTTCTCAAAGACTGAGCTAATCTGGAAGTAAAATGTATGCATATATTAAATAAATAGCTCTATGAAAAATAATCAAGAACTAATAGATGCAGGTAAAGGAAGAGCTTAGATTTGAAAAAAAAACCCACAAAAGTCCTTAATACAGAGAGGTTTAGCCGTATCTATTTCTCAAGCAGAAGGTTATAACCAGGAATAGATCTAGCAAGATAGGACAGGATCCATTTTGGGGCACAGACAGTCAGATGGTGAATAAGAGCCTCCTTGCACTAAAGCATTCTTCAGGGCATAAGTTTGCTGTTTGAGTTTTGTTTGCACACTGACAGAGTTGCCATCCATTGAAAATAAGAAGAGGTATTTGTCCTGTAGACCTGATGAGTAGGAAGAGCCATGGTGCCCTGAGAGAATCCTTATAAAAATGCTTGCATGACACAGAGCTTTATCTTTAATGAATTGGGGCATAATTATCACAAACTCCCTGAATTATGCAAATTAAAAAATCAAGAAGAAAAACATAATGGCACTTCATTAGGAAATATTTTTCTAAGTAATACTTCTGAGGATGAAGGAGTTATTGTTTGTGTCTGATGTGTTTTTGAGGGCTGCAGAGGGGAAGGAGGGAGACAGCTCACTGGAATTTAGGATGGTGCCCACAGCAGTCATGACCTCCTTTCCCACCACTGCTGTTCATTGTCATCCCTCATCTATTCTCATGCCTGCTCAGCATTTCCTCCTGTTGACCTACACAAGCCAGGAGGGGGAAGCATTACGCAGGACTCAGAAGTGTCCCCAAATCTTGTTAAAGCAGTTCTCTGCTTGCAAACTGGACAAAAAACATCACAAGAGAAAAAGGGCAGCACTTGTAGATTTTCTGGTATACACAGATTTATCATGATAAATAGCAGATTGACTGAGTGGCCATATAATCATATCACAAAGGGGACAAGCTTCTGGCATCTGTTCATCTGACAGAAGTTGAATGTAGCTTTTTTTTTTTTTTTTTTTTTTTTTTAGAATGGAATATTTCTATTACTGTGGTTTGTTTTTTTTTTTTTTTTTTTTTTCCTATGCAAACCACTCCTGTATTTTGTCTCAGTTTCACCCCTTCATAATATTCTCTGGGTTTTCAGATGCTGACCTACTTGTGAAGGTAAAGAACTCTATAAAATAAGGAAAAAAGTCTTAGTCTGTAACAGGTCTCTCTTGAGATGCAAGCATTGCAGAATGGGAACTCTGAGAACACCCAACAAAACAGGTACCCCGTCTCAGTCTTTTCACCCCTGCTCCTGTGGCTGCAATGTAGGACAAGTGCCCTGATCTCCCCTACACCTCTGGGCAATTCTTTCTCTTTTCTTCCTTGACTAATATAGTTATAGCAGCTGTTTTTTTGTTTTTTTTTTTTAATGTGCTAAGTTTATGATGATATAAAAAGTACACATTTTATGTGTTAGGAATTAGGGGGAAGCTCCTGCATACAGGACACTGAGACTGGACTTTATGTTGTATTAACTGTTTGCATTGCAGCAATATTTGCACAACTGTCCAAAAGGTGTCTCTCCTCTTACAGCATACACTCAGCCAAATTTAAATTGCTGAATCTTTTTCAGTGGCAGTAAGCTCTTTTTTTTTTTTTTTTCTGGTCCTAATATGTGCAAGAGATTTTTCAAAAGCCCTGGTATAATAAAATACAGTTAAAATTTCCAAAATCGCCAATTTTTTTCCAGGAGTCAGCATACCACTGTTACATAATTTAATTTTAAATGCCAAATGTCTCTAAAAATCTGTGAGTGATTCTATTTGGATGAAGCCTTTAGAGCATATGTATCTCTTCTC